TCAGAAAACTGGAAAATCACCCCTTTTTAATGAATAAAACCCCATAACTCAGAAATGTAAAATGTAAAATTTATAAAATTCTAAAGGGAGCTTACATCAATACATACAAACAATTCACCAAAGTTTCATAAGAATTGCTGAAAGCATTTGTGAGTTTTTGTCTGATAACTGGAAAGTCCCCCCTTTTTTTATGAATAAAACCCCGTAACTCGGAAACGTAAAATCTAAAATTTATAAAAATCAAAAGGGAGCTCATGTCAATAGATATAAACAATTCACCACAATTTCTTGCAAGTTGGTGAAAGCATTCTTGACTTATTGTCCGAAAACTGGAAAATCCCCCTTTTTTTAATGAATAAAACCCCATAACTCGGAAACGTAAAATCTAAATTTTATAAAAAACGAAAGGGAGCTCACGTCAATAGATATAAACAATTCACCAAAGTTTTATGCAAATTGGTTAAAGCAATTTTGAGTTAATGTCCGACATGTTGACGACGGACAGACGGACGGACGGACAGACGGACAACGGTATACCATAATACGTCCCGTAAACGGGCGTATAAAAACAGACCTCTTTTGTTGTTGGGATGTACAAGTACCCGTTCACATCCACTCTATATTTTTGTTATATGTATTTCTATTTGTATCCATCTGATGAGTTAAGCCTTTTTTCAACTAATTTTTAGTTCGTTCTTATGTTGTACTGTTACACCACTGTCCCAGGTTAGGGGAGGTTTGGGATCCCGCTAACATGTTTAACCCCACATCCTTCTGTATTTATGTGCCTGTCCCAAGTCAGGAGCCTGTAATTCAGTGGTTGTCGTTTGTTGTTGTGTTACTTATTTGTTTTTCGTTCAATTTTTTGTACATCAATTAGGCCGTTAGTTTTCTCCTTTGAATTGTTTTACATTTGTGATTTCGGGGCCTTTTATAGCTGACTATGCGGTATGGGCTTTGCTCATTGTTGAAGGCCCTACGGTGACCTATAGCTGTTAATTTCTGTGCCATTTGCTCTCTTTTGGAGAGTTGTATCATTGGCAATCATACCACATCTTTTTTATACAAAACACAAAAACTTAACTTAACCACTGAACCATGAAAATGAGGCCAAGGTCACATGACACCTGCCAGTTGGACATGTACACCTTACAATCATTCCATACGCCAAATATAGTAGATTATTGCTTATAGTTACTGAGATATGGACTTGACCATGAAAACTTAACCTTGTTCACTGATCCATGAAATGAGGTTGAGGTCAACTGAAGGCATGAGGACCTTGCAAGGTATTCACATACCAAATATAGTTATCATATTATTCATAATAAGAGAGAAATTAAGAATACTAAAATGTTAACCTTTTATCAAGTAGTCACTGAACCATGAAAATGAGGTGAAGGACAATGGACATATGACAGACGGAAACATCATAAGATAAGGCATCTATATACAAAGTATGAAGGATCGAGGTCTTCTACCTTCCAAAATATTAAGCTTTTATGAAGTTTGTTAACGCTGCTGCCCCCCGCCGGATCACTATCCCTATGTAACGATTCTGGGACAGAAGTTGCAGGCTCAATCAAAACTTGCATTTTAAACATATTTTCTTTATTTAGCTATGTCCGATATGATGGTTGGCATGTGGGGTCATCAGACACATTTCTAAATACCTCAAAGAAGATTGTGGTAAAGTTTAATTAAATTTGGCCAAGTATGATAGAGAAGATTTTTACAAAAAATAATGAATGACGAGGACGGATGCAAAGTGATGAGAAAAGCTGGACCCTTAAGGCCAGGTGGCTAAATATCAACCTTTAATCATTATAATACACCAATGTATAAAAAGATTAAATATCTATAGGAAAAACAGAAAAAGTGCTGACAACCATTTTTTCGGAATGACAGAATGATGGACATGGGTTATAGTGGCAGGGGATACAAATGGATTCATTGTTCCCTTGTTATTGTCATTCACTCGTTTAATGCCATAAACTCCCAATGTCAATTTTGTGAAGATAAGTATTGTTTTCATTCAAGTTCCTACACAAGTATATTGCCCTCTTTATTGCCATATGAGTGGTGTAAAATTAGCATGCATCTAAGACCAAATTTGCATTGGATTCTGTTCTCTGTTCTTAATCTTCAGAGATGTTTTGGAATTGAATTATTTTGAAATTATCATAGATCCCATGAATTTTAGTTCTCCTTATGATACATTTTACTCCATCAAGACATCTTGATTACTGATATTAGCCAGGCATAAACTTCAAGAGGCAGTAACTCAAAATAACATAAGCATTCAAGTTATGAAAAATAATGTATTTATTAATTGTAAAAATATGATGTATAAAAATGTTCTTCGATTATCTGATAAAATACATTTTTATAAATTATAAATAGATATGCAATGAATCAATATTTTCTTGATTATCTTCATTTTATAATTTTTTTCTACAAAAAAACAAATCATTGATGAATATAAAAATAATAACCACAAAATTTACCCATCAAAATTATTCTGCATTTTGTAGTGGAGCAATGTAACTTTTTTAGACATAAACAAAAAAGTTTTCAAGCGGTGTCATTACAAAATCAGGGTGCAACTTTGAAAAACAAGGATAAGAAATATCAGGTATTAGATGGTATCACATAAGTCAACAACCCAAAGGAACAATCCATCATATTTCTTTTTTAACAGGTGTTGGAAAACCCATTTATCAAGTTTGCTGTAAATTCTGGAATAAGTAAACCAACAGTTTTCTTGAAATCAGAAAGAGGGTTAATTTTTTAAACAATCTTGTGCATTATGCATTAGAGTTGAAGAGAAAAGAGTGTGATTATTTAGTGTCCCCAGTGTAAAATTGTTCGACAATAATATGGTGAAATGGCAGAAATATTGTTTCCTAAAAAGGAATTTTGGATACTTCTAAGGAATGTGAATAATCTCATGATATCATGATATTCAACTAAGCATTATATTACAAAACAGATAAATTGACACAATTAACATACAGAAAGACACTGAACAAAATAGAGTATAAATAGGTAAAATGAAACATAAATAGATAAAGTTAAAACAAAGGATGTCAATAAACTCAGTATACATAAATCAACAGAAATATAATTTAAAAAAAGTAAGATCAAAAGATGTTAATACTTTTTCCGAGACATAATTTATGTCGGTCAATTCTTAGAATTCAAGTCTTTATACTGTGGATTCATTATTATTCGTTAGATACCAATTTTCGTCGATTTCGTGTTTACCCGGTAGCCACGAATTCCAATGTACAACGAATTACAAATCTTCTATAAGAATGTCTGCAGACTTTGGCAAAACCACGAAATCAAATATCCATGAAAATGCAAGTTTTCCTCAATCCACGAAAATTGGTTCAAACGAAAACAAGAGTGCACACGCAGAAATGTCATGCCTGCTTTACTGACCATTGATTTTATGTTGATAGTCCTAAATATAAAGCTTTACTACAAGTATCACATTAACTTAACATGATCCAAGAAAATAAGATCAAGGTCAGATAAACCAAACCAGAAATACATGTACACCTTACAGTCATTCCATACACCAAATATAGTTGACCTATTGCTAATAGTTTCTTAGAAACGAACTTAACCAGGAAAACTTAACACTGACCAAAGAATCATGAAAATGAGGTCAAGGTCAGATGAACCATGCCAGACAGACATGTACACCTTACATCAATCTATGCGTTAAATATAAAAAATTGTTCCCCCCAATTTCTTTTTTTTACAAAAAAAAATTCTTTCCCTCAACATATGGTCATTATCTCAATTCAAATTTCCCAATGGAGTTTGTAATATAATTACCCATTTAAATACATCATAAAAGTCTTAAAATAGAAAATGACATACATAATCATGTCTAAAAATAATATATCTTTAATCAGCATTTTTATTAGTACATGTAACTTCTAAAAATAAATTGACAGCTAATCACCTCAAGACAATACAAAATTTCTTTATCCATAATTTTAAAGCAGTGTAAGGGAGGTAATCCAAATTTAACATTGTAATTAAAAGTGATTGTCCATTAACAAGGAAACCCTTGTTCCCCCCCCCTTTTTTGCCCCTAATTCCTATACGGTTTGAGCCATTACCCCCCCCCCCCCCAAAGCCAATTCTAACCATCCCTTTGTGGTATGGAAACTTGTGTACAATTTCAGAGAGATGCATACACCGTTCCACAAGTTATTGTCTGAAAACTAGAAAAATGCTTATTTGGGCCCCTTTTTTGGCCCCTAATTCCTAAACTGTTAGGACCATAACCCCAAAAATCAATCCAAACCTTCCTTTTGTGGTTATAAACCTTGTGTTAAAATTTCATAGATTTCTATTAACTAATACTTAAGTTATTGTCTGGAAACCATGTGTCTTTGGACGATGACGACGAAAACAACGTGATACAAATATACGACCGCAAAAATATAAAAAAAGACCAAAACACAAAAACTAAACTTTATCCACTGAACCCTGAAATTGAGGTCAGGGTCAGATGACACCTGCCAGTTGACATGTACACCTTACAATCATTCTATACACCAAATATAGTAGACCTATTGCTTATAGTATCTGAGATATGGACTTGACCACCAAAACTTAACCTTGATCACTGATAATTGAAATGAGGTCGAGGTCAGATGAAAACGGTCTGACAGGCACAAGAACCTTGCAAGGTACGCATATACTAAATATAGTTATCCTATGACTCATAATAAGAGAGAAATTAACATTACAAAAAATCTTAACTTTTTTTTCAAGTAGTCACTGAACCATGAAAATGAGGTCAAGGACAATGGACATATGACAGACGGAAACTTCATAACATGAGGCATCTATATACAAAGTATGAAGCACCCAGGTCTTCCACCTACTAAAATATAAAGCTTTTAAGTAGTAAGTTAACGCTGCCGCCACAGGATCACTATCCCTATGTTGAGCTTTCTACGACAGATTGAATCCACAGTACCCACAAATGTTAACCCAACATTCGGGTTATTTGGAGCATGTAAAAATAATAAGAGAGGCGAAAGATACCAAAGAGATATTCAAACTCATAAGTCAAAAACAAACTGGCAATGCCATGGCAAAATATGAAAAACGATCAAAAGACAAACTACAGTATACAAAACACAACATGCCATGAGCCTTCAAACCCAGGCACATATAAAACACTTGTTGTAAATTTATGTCACTAAAGACTTACAAGAAATAAATCTGATAATATAAATCTTTTAAATCACCAAATGTTTTTTTCATAACTGCAGAAATAAAAATGATTATCAAATGCAGAGGACAGAATGTATACTTGATGGAGAGAAAAAAAATCTAGTTTTCTAGTGAATGGGAAAGCTTTCTGCTTTATAGATAGCTACAATTTACAATATAAATTATATCAATAATAAACTGTTGACAGATATGTCTTGCCTATCGGCATAAAATTCAGATAAAGACAATCTGATGGACAGCAACATTGCTTATTAATTCAGTCACTCAACCATGATCAGGGCCTGAAAATTGTAGACAAACTGAGATGTTCATACAGTAATGTAACTTTATAGAAAATATCGTTGTTTATTGTAAGTAGTTGTTATCAATATATAACTTAAGCAGAAAAACTTTACATTGAAAATTGCTAATTAATTCAAAGTCACTGGACCATGACCTAGGGGACAGGGCCTCAAAATAGTCATCAAACTGATATGAACTGATAGTAATGCAACTTCATACAAAATATCATTGATCTATCACAAGTAGATCCTATCAAACTAACTTAAGCAGAAAACATAATATTGAATATTTCTAATTATTTCAAAGTCACTAGACCATGCCCTAGGGTGCAGGGCCTCAAAATAGTCGTCAAACTTATATGTACTGATAGTAATGCAACTTCATACAAAATATCATTGATCTATGACAAGTAGATCCTATCAAACTAACTTAAGCAGAAAACTTAACACTGAAAATTGCTAATTAATTCAAAGTCACTGGACCATGTCCCAGGGTGCAGGGCCTCAAAATAGTCGTCAAACTGATATGTTAGGATAGTAATGCAACTTCATACAAAATATTATTGATCTATCACAAGTAGATCCTATCAAACCTACTTAAGCAGAAAACTTAACATTGAAAACTGCTAATTAATTCAAAGTCACTGGACCATGTTCTAGGGGGCAGGGCCTCAAAATAGTCATCAAACTGATATGTACTGATAGTAATGCAATTTTATATTAAATATCAATGATCTATCACAAGTAGTTCCTATCAAACTAACTTAAGCAGAAAACTTAACAATTGTTGATGCCAGAGCCTGATCTGTCGCCGGAATAGCAATCCCTTTGTCTCGCTTTCCGCGACTTTCGTTGCAGACGAGACAAAAATGTCTGAGGGAATGAAAACATTAAGTTCTGTATGATTGCAATTAGATTGTGAAAATATTGACAAGCATTTAATGAAGTTTCTGCTAGACGATCATCCAATCTCAAAAATTTACATTTATAATTTCTTAGCAGCAAATTTAAAATAAATAAGAGAACAAAAATACATATTAAAACTTTAAATCAATTTTACAAAAATATGTAAAAAAACACTGATAATTTGGATTTTCTAAAAAAAAAAAAGACTTAATCAAGTAATATATTTTCTATCTTCTACATCACTGAATATCAGAAAAAAAACAAAGGTTTTGGCATCCTCAATTATTTATGAAATAATTCAGTGCAGCCATAGTTTACCAAAAATTATAGCACCATTACATTGTTTGCATACAATTGTAAGCCGAGGAATAAAGAGGTGTTTAATTGTTTTACAAATTATGCATTACACACGTATAAATCTCAAAGAAACCATATCTGACATGAAATATCTCTATTCTGACTTATATAAAAATTAGGACTCTTTTTGCAGACCTATAAGACATGTTCAAAAAGAAACCATTTCGATGTTGATTAATGTAAAATGATACATGTATAGATAACTAAAAAATTGTTCACGTAAAAAAGTGTGCAAATACATAGCATTACTTAATTAGTTATTACTTTATTTCCACAAATGCAGTTTTTTTCATACTTCATTACTTATCATATACTTATAACAAAATAATTTTGACATTTTTTATCTCTTTACATTTCTTTGTAATGTGGTGAAATTTTAGGGATACTTCTAAGAAAAAACAAAAAATATTAAAGGTATTACAATTGAAGACTCAGAATTTTTGATATCACAATATGCTTATGACACAACTTATTTTAGATGGTCACCACAAGCTTTAGATACATCTCTTTGTATTTTAGAATTATATGATGAATGGTCTGGTCTCTTGATGAATTTAGAAAACTAGAGGCTCTAAAGAGCCTGTGTCGCTCACCTTGGTCTGTGTGCATATTCAACAAAGGACACTCTCAAACATTGTAGACGAGAATAGAATTCATGACAAAAATCTCTGTTTTGTTGATCTTGGATTGCTGATCATTTAGTCTGTTTAGTTTCTCTCTATCTTCTTTAATTTGCTCAAAACACAAAAGAGGGTAAAAAAAAATCCTCATTTAAGGGCAAGCACTCCTATAAAGAGTGACAGTCTAATAACTATATCGGCAAAATTTGACTTGTTAGTAGATCTTGCCTTGCTTATCATTTTTGTGATTAAAAGTGTCTATTTATCTATTATAATTTTTATCATATAAGGCAAAACGCAAAAAAATGGTAAGAATTGTCATTAAAGGGCAATAACTCCAATAAGGAGTTGGTTGTCCGACGATTTCTTCCATTTCTCTAAATTGTAGATCTTGTCTTGCTGATCATTTTTGCTAATTTAAGTTTCTATCTATCTATTATAATTTTAAAGATATAAGGCAAAAACGCAAAAATTGGTAAAAATCGTCATCAAAGGGCAATAACTCAAATAAGGAGTCGACTGACGATTTCGACCATGTATGTATAACTTGTTTTGCTGATCATTTTTGCAATTTAAAGTTTCTCTCTGTCTATTATAGTTTTCAAGATAATAGGCAAAAATGAAAAAAAATTGTAAAATTTGTCATTTAAGGGCAATAACTCCTATAAGTCGTCTGACAGATTTGATGTATATAAACAATTGGTAGAGCTCAATATTCTGAACATTTCTGCCCCTGTCAGATTTTCTCTATTTATAATGATTTTCAAAATGATAGACAAAACTTGCATTTTACCCCCTATGTTCTATTTTTAGCCATGTCGGCCATCTTGTTTGGCAGGCACATCATCATCGTCATCGGTCATCGGACACATTTTTTAAAACTATACACCCCAATGATGATTGTGGCCTAGTTTGGATGAATTTGGCCCAGCAGTTTCAGAGGAGATGATTTTTGTAAAGGGCGATGAGGATGGACGCCAAGTGATGAGAAAAGCTCACTTGGCCCTTTGGGCTAGGTGAGCTAAAAAGGTAGCATGGATTGGGAAAAAGAAATATAGCCAAGATACAATGTTTGTAAAGTGGGGATTGTAGTGGGGTTGCAGAAGCTGTACGCTCCTAGGTATAAAATTCAGTTGATTTGCAAGAAATATAAAATGTAAATTATGGACGTAAAGTTAGAGAGATTGCGAGAACAATAAAGAGTTGGTCAATAAAGTAAGTATCTCCAGTTAGAAAAATTCTAAAAGTCTTATAATTTTAAAGCTTAATCACTTATTTTTAACATTACCAAATCCAAACAATGGTTTACTTAAAATCATTCATTTTCTTTTATTTGAAATGGGTAACCTGACAATATGATTTGGGTGGAAATAACATGTTGAACTTAAAACAAAATATAAAGGGTTAAAATTAACTTGGATAAGTAAGATTATTAAACAAACTAATAATTATTGTAAGTTACTGAAAAAATTAAATTAATAGAACTACATTATGTAGGACTAAGTAAACATGTAAAAAATCCCTTTTGGCAAGAAGTTTTTAGGGGCCAGCTGAAGCCTGCCTCCAGGTGCGGGATTTCTCGCCGTGTTGAAGACCCATTGGTGGCCTTGGGCTGTTTTCTGCTCTTTGGTCGGGTTGTTGTCTCTTTGACACATTCCCCATTTCCATTCTCATTTTTTTTAATGCTTGGGATAGATCTCCAAACTAAAATTACTATTAAGAACAAATATGATATATATACCAGGGTGTAAATTAGATATATAGATAAATTTCTGTGATAATCATTATTTGATTGGTTTTACATGTTTGTTTATCATGTAAATGAATCTGATAATTAGCTTTTTTTTTTTTTTTTTATAACACTAAAAACATTTAAATCTAGAACATTCTCTCTTTTCAGTAAATTACAGTTAATTATTTGATCAGAGTGATTTAAAACTTTGTTTTGAAACAGGCTCTCTCAAAAGATTAAATAAAACTAACATGTACATGAACATAGTTTCAGAAATCTGATACTTATTCTATAAAATCTATCATTAGTTGGTTATGCACTTGTTGGTGAAGACTGAAATCTAAATTGCAATGTTTCATCACTACAAGTCAAATTGTGGAGAAAACAAGATTGTGCTTTTAGTTGCATCTTGTAGCCTTTTGTACATGCTTCTTTAATACTAACTTCCCTATTGACTCCTGTAAGTATATTTAGTATGTGAACAGTGTCTTCCAGTTTGTTATTCTCAATCATTGTGGTATGTAAGGCTCTTAACAACCAACTTCCCTGATTTGGATCATTCTCTTTACGGTAAGCATACTTTCCTAAAAAAAAAAAGTTTAAATAACTGTAACCTGTGATTCATTATATTTGTGGAATACAAATTTTTGAGGATTTCTTGGGTATATGTAGGAATTAAACATTCAACAAAATACAAATGTTTAGTAATGGATGAAACCTAAAACTAAGATGCCCTGAAGTAGCAATTGTTTCTTCAACCACCAAAATTGATATCAACAAAAACTTGAGGCACTGCTAGAAAAGTGTACTTAATTAAAAGTCTTGCGCCTCAAATACAGCACTGGCAAAGGCTATGATTTGCCTATAAAGAAACCTAAAAAAAATTATATGGAAAAAATTGAGAGTGCTCACATTATATTGTCCGACCTGATTTACTGATAATGATTGAATATATGGTGATGGTCTATAAGATAAAGAAAGGTCTTACTACAAATATCACATAAATTCAACACATTATTGATGATCCATATAAATGAGAGACCAAGGTTAGATGAATCCTTTCAGACAAACATGTACACCTTACAATCATTCTAATCACCAATACAAGGATGGGGTAATTGAACTAGAGGCTAGCCTTTTAAAAGATGGCAGTATGCTAATGAGGACGTACTAGTCATATTTTGTAATTTATTATTTCATAATTTATACTTTTAACCTAGCTCCTATGGTTTATGGGATAACAGGCAAAAACTGCAAACAAAATCCCAGTAAAATCAACATTTCAGGGGCTACAAGTACAACTCTATAAAAAATAGGGGTGTACAGGACCATATAATCTTTATGGAAATAGGATGTGAAAATGCTTATACGACTGCATTCAAACTATTATTGACTTTCAGTTAGTGATTTATCTTAAAGTGATCTAAATACAAGATTTAACATGTACACTAAGCAAGAGTTTCAAAGTCAATAGACCATAATTGAGGGTTGGGGCCAAATCATCTCCATGGAAATATGATGTGCCAATGCTTATACAACTGTATACCTAATATAACTGACCTACCACTAGTGGTTTCCTTAGATAGACCGGATCACAAACTAATACATTGTTGATGCTGCAGTCACCTGACACAGAATGCCTTTGTTGAGGCAACACAAAAATGGATATTTCAGTGGCAACAACTCCAAGAAAGGTTGACAGATTTTTCTAAAATTTCAGGGAAGATGGACCCTGTTGTGCATTATCATTTTTGCAATTTACTTTTTTAACCTAAATCCTATAATATTCAAGATACTGCAGTATTTTAGCCCTAGAATCTTTTAATATAAGCCACAGTGGCCATGTTGGTTGATCAACATGGACAAGAGTCACAAACTATATAGTAGACATCCCAAAGATGAAGCAGGCAAATTTTGAATTCAATACATTGAGTGGTTTCAGGATGCAAAAAGACTGCAATAGCTCACATGGCTCTTTGGGCCAGTTGAGGTAAGAAAGTAATTGTAATTTTTCAATTGGATAAAATAGTAATTTAATCAATAACATTGGAAAAAGGTGTTTCAATTACAAAAAGATCCATTGTTAAGTTTACTTTGAAAAACACTGCCTAAAAAATAACTATTCCTATAATAATAAAGTTTAGTACATAGATTTTCCTCATTTCAAAATAAACTGTTAACACAAAGATTTGTCTGGCCTTTTTGTTATTTGGATAGTAAAATGCAAATTTTGAAATTAAAATAGCAATACTTTAACATGTAAGTTATGCAAAATTTTCAAAGTCAATGAACCATGACTGATGGAACAGGGCAAAAAAAAAATTTCCATGGAAATGTGACGTGCCAATTCTTATACAACTGCATACCAAATATCATTGACCTCCCACAAGTTGTTCCCCATATACTGACCTAATTACAAACTAATACATGTAAACTTAGCAAAAGTTTCAAAGTCAATAGACCATGAATGTTGGGGCGGTACCAAATAATCTCCATGGAAATAAGATTTGCCAATGCTAATACAACTGCATAACAAATACCATTGACCTACTAGTGGATCCCCATAAACAGGAAAACCCCATAAATACAATTATTCCATGCACCAAATATGATGATGATGATGATGAATGGCTGCTTAACGTCCAGTGGCAAATTGATATTCATATTCAGGACGAGAACATGTTAATGTAATATGAATATTAACCCTGCTTTGTACTAGACCGACACGCTGAGCTGGATTTTTAACATGCTAGTTCCACAAGGTAACAGTCCACAGGAAGACATGTCACCTTACCAGACACATTATTCTAACTCCGAGTCAACTAGTCTTTGCTCTTATTCCTTAATGCTGCATGCTTAGGGGAGAAGCAGCAAATACCAATTTTAAAGTCTTTGGTTTGACCCGGCTTTGGTTCGAACCCACAACCTCCCGCACATGCTACCACAAGACCACTGATGTGGTGCACCAAATATAGTTGACCTACTATCACCTTATTTTAATCACTTATCCATTATGACCATGGTATGAGGTCATGGTCAGGCAAACCCTGTCTGACAGACATATGGCCTTGCAAGGATCCCATATACCAAACATTATTATCCCATTACTCATAATAAGACTTAAAGTGAGAAATTCACATGTGAAAAAAAAACAAAATCCTTATGATATGCACACCTTTAGTATATGTACTATCATGAACCACCTACCTTGCATGCCTTGTACTACAATAAAATGATTAAGTTCAACAATCTGTCATTTGTAGAAAATATATATCAAAATCCTGACGTTAAGTGCACACCTTTGGTATAGGTATTAACACCCTACATAATATGAAAGTTTTTGTTGGATAACTGTAGGAGGAACGGTATACCCTATGTGTGACGGATGGACAGAGGTAATATAATATGCCCCTAACATTTTGTTGCAGGGACCTAATTAATCAAAATTATAAACATCATGTAAAAGTTTAAATTTCGTTCATCGTTTAGATGCAGCTCTATTGTTTTTGGCCTTTTGATTTGACAAAAAATTGGTGTTTTGTAATGGTCTTAGCTTTGTTGGCAACAGAGTAAGTTCCCTTTGTTGAAGCTTATAATCTAAGTGATAGGTTGAGGTTATCAATGTTTGTCTTTCAAGAATGTGTAAAATAAAAAAGTGTTTTCCTCTTCAGCTATACTTGATCACGTATTCTCTTATGGTTATGGCCTGTTATCTATTTCTTGCATGAAGAGATATTTCTCGTATCACACTGCACGGAGTGTGATACGAAAAAGTGATACGAAAATATGCATTACCGGTAATTTGATTGGCTTATTCAGCATCATGAGATGATATAACGACATTTCCATTGGCTAATCGTTAGGTCATTGATAACTTTCAAAGGTTAAGACGATGTACATTTCGTCCATGGCAACCGGCATATGTAATTTCTTCAATAATATACAAAACATTCACACTTTTCACCTGAAAATCTTCTTTTTGTCACATTTTATTACATTCTGAAGAGTACAAAAAGTTTTAAAATGTCTGATGTTAAAGTTTGACATCGGAACAGGACATATGACGTCATACTGGTATGTACAAAAGACTAGATCAACGATTCGCAGAATTTTTAATTTAACACAATGAAAGTGTTGACCATAAGAGAAAAAGTTTTAACAACTTGTGAGAATAGGATATCGCTTGATATCAACTCTTGTTATTTAATTTAAATAGTAATAATAAACTCGCCAAAGGCTCGTTTATTATCATATTGAAATTAAATAACTCGAGTTGATATCAAGTGATATCCAATCCTCACTCGTTATGTAACCTATAATTATACAATGTTTCCAATGATACTAAAAGAGAGGCGAAAGATACCAAAGGGACATTCAAACTCTTAAGATGGAAACAAACTGACAATGCCATGGCAAAATATGAAAAGCAACAAAAAGTCCACAAAACAGTACATAGATAAAATGCTCCGGCAGATGCAGCTTGATACGACCTCAGAGGTCAAACCCTGAAAACAAGGAATTATTTGAATCCGGAATAATTTTGAATTCTGGAAAATTGATAACTTATTTTTGATGAAAACTAACCCAACTAAATAGGGTTAGCCATGCGTGCATTGCTAAGGGGGTTTAGTTAGTTGATACTGAAATATCAGTGAAAATAACTTGAACCATAGCCATGCGCACACTAATGTTGGGTTAGTTTTCATCATACATTTCTTATCAATTTTCCAGAATTCAAAATTATTCCAGATTCAAATAATTCCTTGTTTGAACAGTTGGGGCAAGTATATGGAAACTACACTCAAGCTTGATACAGATCTGAATTTTGATTGAGATTTAATATTTGACACAGCATTATAATAAGGTTTCTGACATAGAATGAATGTGGTCAAAGAAACTGAAAAATTGGAAATTGGACTTTTACCTATTATAGTCCAACATCCAAAATCTAAATACACAGTTAGATTCAGCATATACAAGTACACCAAGAATTTAATTTACTTAGTTATTAATGGACAATAATATCTAAGTTTTTAAAGGGTTTCATTTATCTAAAAAAAATATATATATACTAGAGCATTTCTGAAAATAAGCTTATACAAAATAACAAACAAACCTAACACGAAGTTCTTCAAACAAAATTTACAAAATATCACTCCTCACTAATAAAAAGAAAAAGTCTAAAAAACTTATCTCTAATTATTTTTCAAAATATCTAATAATGAACAGCAAATTTCAAACTATATTTATACATAATTTCTTTTGTAAAATTAGATTTGAGGCTGTATCTATTTTTTAACTATGACTCAACTTACAATTTCTATTATTCAGATTAAATATTTGACAAAGCATAGTTTCTGACACAGAATGAATGTGGTCTAAGAACTTAAATAATTTGAAATTGGGCATTTACCTTTTATGGTCTAATATCCAAATCTAAATACATGGTTAGATTCAGCATATCAAAGAACCCCAAGAATTCAATTTTTGATGAAATCAAACAAAGTTTATTTTTGGACCCTTGGGACCTCAATGTAGACCAATTTGATAGCAGGGCCCAAAATCCTAAATCTAAATACATAATTAGATTCAGTATATCAAAGAAACCCATATATTCAATTTTTGTTGATATCAAACAAAGTTTAATTTAGGACCCCGATTTGGACCAACTTGAAAACTTGACCCAAAAATTAAAAATCTAAATACATGTTTAAATTCACCATATCAATTGAATTCAATTTTTGTTAAAAACAAATTTAAATTTGGACCCTTTTGATCTCGATGTGAACCAATTTGAAAACCAGTCCCAAAATCAATAAAATGCTCCGCTGGGCACAGCTTGATACGACCGCAGAGGTCGAACCCTGAACAGTTGGGGCAAGTATGGACACAACATTCAAGCTTGATACAGCACTGAATTTGGATTGTGATTGAATATTTGACACAGCACAGGTTTCTGACACAGAATAAATGTGGTCTAAGAGCTTAAAAAATTTTAATTTACCTTTTCAAACCATATCATTATTATTTGCTTTTATATATAAATCAGAAATAACCAATTTAAAATGGATTATTTAAAAAAGAAAATAAAAAGGAAAAAAAAATCCCTCCCCCCCAAATTTGTTGAACCCCCTTATGATTCATCACCCCCAAACTCAATCCCAGCCTTCCCTTTGTGGTATGGTTCCTGCAGTACAATTTCAAAGAGATCCATACACTTGAACACAAGTTATTGTCTGGAAACTAGAAAAATGCTTTTTTTTGCCCCTTTTTTGACCCAAATTCCTAAACGTTTAGGGCAATTACCCCCAAACTCAAACCCAGCTTTCCCTTTGTGATATGGAAATTGTAGTACAATTTCGGAAAGATCCCTACACTTACACACAAGTTATTGTCCTGAAACTAGAAAAATGCTTGTTTTTTGCCCCTTTTTTGGCACCTTAATTCCTAATATTTTGAAACAATTACCCCCAAAATCAATCCCAGCCTTTCCTTTGTGGTATGGTACCTTGCAGTACAATTTCAGAGAGATCCATACACTTGAACACAAGTTATTGTCTGGAAACTAGAAAAATGCATATTTTTGGCCCCTTATTCCTAAACGTTTTGGGCAATTACCCCCAAACTCAATTCCAGCTTTCCCTTTGTGATATGGAACCTTGTAGTACAATTTCAGAAAGATCCATACACTTACACACAAGTTATTGTCCTGAACTATAGAAAAATGTTTGTTTTTTGCCCCTTTTTTGGCCCCTAATTCCTAATATTTTGAGGCAATTACCCCTAAAATCAATCCCAGCATTCCCTGTGTGATATGGAACCTTGTGGTACAATGTCAGAGAGATCCATACACTAACACACAAGTTATTAGATATAAGAAGATGTGGTATGAGTGCCAATGAGACAACTCTCTAAGTTATGTCTGGAAGTTACAAAAATGCTTATTTTTGGCCCCTTTTTGGCCCCTAGTTCCTTAACTGTTGGTACCATAACCCCCAAAATCAATCCCAACCTTCCTTTTGTGGTATTGAACCTTATGGTAAAATTTCATAGAGATCCATTCACTTAAACTAAAGATAGAGTGCGAAAACCAATGTGTCTTCGGACGACGACGACGCCAACATCATACCAATATACTTCCACAAAAATGTTTTGCGGTCGTATAAAAATCTAAATACATTGTTAGATTTAGCATATCAAAGATCCCTAAGAATTCATTTTTTTTTTTAAAAGTTTAATTTGGACCCTTTGGCACTTAATGTGAATCAATTTGAAAACGGGCACCAATATCAAATATCTAAATACACGGTTAGATTCAGCATATCAAAGAACCCTTATAATTCAATCAAACAAAGTTTAATTTTGGACCCTTTGTACCTCAATGTGGACCAATAGACCACTTTCGAGTTCATAGCATTTCAGTCAAAAACTTTGGGTTTAGTGAACATCATTTGTGCTTTTAGTGTCACTTCCTTCCCATGTTGAGCAAGTGGTTAAAAAAATATGATGCTATATTGCACAAATTGATAATCAGCACTGCTGTCATTAGAGAATTGTGATTAAGTACCTACGGAACAAACATTATTTCTTGTTTATCCTGCATAATGACAATCGCAAAGGCACTTAATGAACTTTAATAGTGCAGGGATACAGACGGTCCCCTCTATCTGGTAAAAGACGTCCAAAAGGCGTCCATAATTGAAGAACTTTTCCAGTGAAGGACATAACTCCAAAGTTGTCTATTCAAAAAGGGGTCCAAATTCCAAAATCTAAATACATGATTAGAATCAGGTTCCAGAAGGGCAAGCAGATTCTGCTCCACATTTGGCACTCCAAAAGAGGGACGAAAGATACCAGAGGGACAGTCAAACTCATAGATCGAAAACAAACTGACAACGCCATGGCCAAAAATAAAAAGACAAACAATAGTACAGATGACACAACATAGAAAACTAAAGACTAAGCAACACGAACCCCACCAAAAACTGGGGGGTGATACAGGGCCAAACAATTTCCATGGAAATGAGATATGCCAATTCTTATACAACTGCATACCAAATATCATTGACCTACCACTAGTGGTTCCCCATAAACTGATCTAATCATGAACTAATACATGTAAACAAAGCAAATTATTCAGTCAATAGACCATGACTGAGGGGGCTGGCCCAAATAATCTCCATGGAAATTAGATGTGCCAATATGTATGCATCTACATACCAAATATCACTGACCTACCCCAAGTTGTTTCTAATCACAAGCTAATACATGTTAAGTAATCAAAAGTTTCAAATTCAATAGACCATGACTGAGGGGGAAGGTCCAAATAATCTCCATGTAAATGAGATGTGCCAATGCTAATATAACTGTATACCAAATATCATTGACCAACTACTAGTGGTTCCCCATTAACAAACCTAATTACAAAGTAATACATTGTTGCCACTGCCGCCGCCAAAACAGCAAACCTAAGTTTCGCTTTTTTAACATCCTCAAGGCGAGACAAAAAATTATCTCCATGTAAATGAGATGTGCAAATGCTAATATAACTGTATACCAAATATCATTGACCTACTACTAGTGGTTCCCCATTAACAAACCTAATCACAAAGTAGTACATTGTTGCCGCTGCCGCCGCCAAAAACAGCAAACCTAAGTTTCGCTTTTTGACTTTGTCAAGGCGAGATAAAAAATTATCAGATTGGATTATATAGTTTTTAAAGTGTGCAGACTGATGGTAAGTTTTTTTTCATTGGCTTCACAATCTTCTATAGAACAGATGTCAATAATTGTTTTTTCTAATACTGTTTTAAAATATATATCTTAACATGCAAAGTGTAATATTGAAAGCATTTGGTGATGTATAAATTGTGTTGAGTGCACGTGGTATTATTAGGGCTCTATGGTGTTTGGTGATAAAAAGACACACCACTAGATACCCTCAGGATCATTCTCTCAAAGTGTGATTGAAATTGGTTCAGTAGTTAGAGAAGACCTTTCAAATATTTCAATGGATGCCAAGTGATGGCAAAAGCTCACAGGTCCATGTAGGATAGGTGTGATATAAAACTGTTGCAAGGGTTCTTCAACTTGCACACAGTGTGTCACTCTACCAACAAGAGGCTTTAGATTTGATGTCCCCATTTTCAAGTGACCTGGCAGCATATTTATACATCTCACACACACAAATAAACACTCCTGGAACATATGTGTTACTGCCAGACCACCACAGAAGTCCAAGTAACCATATTTCTATAATCCAGTCATTCTAATTAACCTATTAACAAGATGCTTACCTGACATAGAAGCAAACGCTACCACACAATCATCACAATGGAGTTCTGTTAGTGTAGTAGGAATCTCTTCCACATTGTCAGGCTCTATATTATTTTCTTCCTCTGGCATACAGCCAATGGCATCTTTTTTATCTACACCCTCATTCTTATGGTTTGACTGTTCATCTCTACTCTGCACTACTGCCACATCGTGACCAAAATCTAGATTCTCTTCTTTAACCCCTGCCCTTCCTCTACAAGCCTAAGTGATATATATACATACAAGTAGAATAAATAAAGAACTGCTGATCAGAATACACAAAGCTACTGTTCAACAAGCTAATAGTTTCAATGGGAATGTGTGGCATTGGTGCTGCCATACAATGTTCCCTAATCAAAACTAGAATTGTCCTCTAAGCTGGACTAACCCCCACTCTATCCTGGATTGATGTTTGAGTACTATGGATTCATTTATTTTTGTGGATACCAATTTCATAGATTGAAGGATACCATTTACTGTAAATAAAAGATTTTTTGGCTGGAATTTCGGATAATTTTTAAATTCATAATGCCATGTGTGTAAGAAGGAATTTCTTTGTTTAAGTATATCAACGTGAGGTCAAGGACTGCATGTTCCATGCATGATCATCTAATTATATTATGTGATTGGTCAGTTCTTGAGATAAGAAATTAATATCATATTTCTACATGTGCTCGGACATACGGTCATTCGCCTTTGTTCTGGGAGAGAGAAAAGATTGTTTCTGAATTTTAACTGAAATAAATGGGGATTGTGTCCATGGGACACAGATGATGCCCCCGCTTGCATATAACGTTATAAAGGGACATAACTCAAGAACCGTAAAAGTGACGCTACCCAAATTCGTACATGATTTGAGTTTTGTGGTAATGAGCTTTCTGTATAAGTTTCATAACATTTGGTTGAGGCAAACTTAAGTAAATGAACGGAAATGAAAACATTCAGCAATTTTTCCATTTGTAAAGGGGCATAATTTGAAAACGGTAAAAAGTGACACCACCAAAATTCAAACTCGATCTGTGTTTTGTGGTAATAAGCATTGTGTATAAGATTCATAACATTTGGTTGAGGCAAACTTAAGTAAGAGAATGGAAACGAAAAAGTCAGCAATTTTTCCATTTGTAAAGGGGCGTAACTCTAGGTAAAAGTGACGCCACCCAAATTCAAACTGGATCTGTGTTTTGTGGTAATAAGCATTGTGTATAAGATTCATAACATTTGGTTGAGGCAAACTTAAGAGAATGGAAACGAAAAATTCAGCAATTTTTCCATTTGTAAAGGGGCATAACTCTAGGTAAAAGTGACGCCACCCAAATTCAAACTGGATCTGTGTTTTGTGGTAATAAGCATTGTGTATAAGATTCATAACATTTGGTTGAGGCAAACTTAAGTAAGAGAACGGAAACGAAAAATTTGTAAAGGGGCGCAACTCTAGAAAGGTAAAAGTGACACCACCCAAATTCAAACTGGATCTGTGTTTTGTGGTAATAAGCATTGTGTATAAGATTCATAACATTTGGTTGAGGCAAACTTAAGTAAGAGAACGGAAACAAAAAATTCAGCAATTTTTCCATTTGTAAAGGGGTATAACTCTAGAAAGGTAAAAGTGACACCACCCAAATTCAAACTGGATCTGTGTTTTGTGGTAATAAGCATTGTGTATAAGATTCATAACATTTGGTTAAGGCAAACTTAAGTAAGAGAACGGAAACAAAAAATTCAGCAATTTTTCCATTTGTAAAGGGGTATAACTCTAGAAAGGTAAAAGTGACACCACCCAAATTCAAACTGGATCTGTGTTTTGTGGTAATAAGCATTGTGTATAAGATTCATAACATTTGGTTGAGGCAAACTTAAGTAAGAGAACGGAAACAAAAAATTCAGCAATTTTTCCCTTTGTAAAGGGGTATAACTCTAGAAAGGTAAAAGTGACGCCACCCAAATTCAAACTTGATCTGTGTTTTGTGGTAATAAGCATTGTGTATAAGTTTCATCACATTTGGTTGAGGCAAACTAAAGTTAGAGAACTGAAACCAATTAGGGGATGTACAGCGGGGGCTTAAAAATACTGTAGAAAGGGCTTACCAGATATTCATCAAAGAATCCACAGATTATAAGGTAAAAGCGAACCTTAACTATTTATTATTATATGTTTTTCAAGGTTAATTTCTAATTTATTGATTTTATAATAGACTAGTGGCTTTTGAACCATGGTCCGGCGTGCTTTAATTTTTGGTAATTCTTTTATTCATCGTTTAGAATCATTTACTCATGAAAACTGCGATCAAGGTTGGTTTAATTTAGGTTTAGACAGAACAGATATTAAGGTTGAATTTTTTGGTTTGGGGGGAGGTACTCTTCGCCCCGGTCATAAAGTGTTCAAAAGCAACAATATATGCATATGATTGAAGAATATAAGCCACATTTGGTTTTTCTTCAGGTCGGAGGCAATGATTTATCGTCTGAAAATGAGCCAGTCAAATTACCAAGAGATATCTTGAAAAATTGAAAGGATTGGAATATCCTACCCACATGCACATCTGCATATTAGGATCTAACAATGTACCAACTTCCATGTAGATATAATTAATCAAGTAGTAAGAGTTGCAATGACAAGGATGGTTCTGAAAAACCAACATTTTCAATGTTCAATTTCTTATTATTAGTAGGATCTTACAATCTAGAAACTTGCAAATCTGCAAGTAAATACGATAAACCATAAAGGAAGAGTTGCAATGACAAGGCAGGTGCTGGACACTAACAAAATTTTCTAAATTCAAAGAGGCATGTGTATAGGAAATCTGAAAGGATCTAAGAACATCCTGCCCACATGCACATCTGATTGTTAGGATCTATCCGTATACCAAGTTTTGTGTAGTTACAATTAAACATGTAGGAGAGTTACAACTACAAGGTCAGTGCTGGATAGGGCATTATGTTCTAAGTTGAAAGGGTCATAACTATTATAATATCCTACCGCATGCACATCTGCCTATCAGGATCTAACAATTTACTAAGATCTATGTAAATACAATAAATCATGCAGGAGGAGTTGGGACAACCAGGTCAGTTCTGAAAAGGGTAAAAGGTGAAAGGGGTATAATTCTGGAAAAAATAAAAACAAAACAAAATCCTTTAAACAGTGCTGTCTGTTAATCAAAACCATTTATTCGACAAAGTTTTGAAGTGAATCAATCAGAGGATAAGGAAGTTGATTAATACAGACCATAGACAGACTGATTAAGCATCTGAAAATGAAAATAACTGACAGACTGACGGACGGGTAAGAACTACATACCCCCACTTCTTCATAGTATGAGGTATAATCTAAAAAATTTACAAAATCACTTCCAATAAATCATCTTGCCATGTTTTGTTATGATTTGCTATGTGATACCAAAATATATTACTTTTCAAATCTATATTTTAAGAACCCATTTCATTTTCTAAGGACAATGGTTTTCCTTTGTGATTTATATTCCATATATAGAAAGGTAAAACTGGAGAATTCAGTACTTAAACTAGTTTTAACAATTCAACATATTATTAAGTCTGTTAAAAGCAAGGAATCTCATTAGTTTCTTGTTGTTTTATTTATCTTCCAGTTTTTTTGGTCCTTTTTGATAGTTACCCAGTGATGAATTAATTCCAAAATTTTACACTCAAGGTGATTTAGAATTTAATGTAGTGTTATATCAATTATTGAAGACTGCATGAAGTTGACATCTAGAATCTAAATGTTTTTTTTAGAAATTTTATTGATGTGTTGAATTGCTATCAGCTCATTCATTAACACCAAGCATAATTTATTCATTTTTAATATCAAGGGTTCATTTTCCACTTCATGAATTCTTCGCTAATATTTTCAAATGTACAAACCTGTATAAAGAACATTTTAGTTTTTCCTTTTAAATCCTTTAAATCACCTATTGCCTCAATAATGTCCTGAGTTTTATAGCGATCATCCTTTGTATAAAAGTAATGGTGATACTGATGTACATATATGTATTCCTCCTCTTCTGTTTTCTGTTCTTTTTCACCACTGTTATCCTTTATATTGACTATATTTTCTCTTTTCTTTTTCAATACTTCATGAACTTCTTCTCCATGGGTGCTCAAAACGAAAACAAAGTAATCAATACTGCCAATTTCTTTCAATTTATCCTCAACTGAAAGAAGATAATATACTTCAATAATTCTTTTAAATCAGCAATGATTTTTATATTTTGTTTAATTGATTAGTAAGAAGGAATGTGGTGTATCTTTTCTCAACTTAAATACCCTACACATACAATATATTAGCCTGACAAAAATCCCAAGCAATTTTTGAGTATTCAGTTAAACCAATTGTTTTTGACACAAAACTGTTTCTCCGATTCTGGAGTAGGTACAAATTATTTAACCCAATGTTTTTGCAACCAGAAAACTCAAAAACAAAATAAAACATATATTTTGAAGATAAAAAATAAAATACATTCTAATATAAAATGTAAACACAACCAATAGCATACATGTATCAGGAAGTAAAAAGTTTGATTTTGTTAATAATTAATAATTACTGATTATACAGAATAGAAAAGGATCTGGAAGGAGGAAATTTGCAGACAGTCATACACAAATGGATACATCTATACATCTTAGTATCTTGTATTTGTGACATAAAAAAAATCAAAAATATTCTAAGGTTTGGAGAATTAGGTATTCAAAGTGTATTTGCCAATAAACGCAATGAAAGCTCATTCATGTGAGAGTAAATACACTAGTGAAAGAACAACCTGCACAATCTATACTATATCTCTTTCATTATTAGCCTCACATTTTCCTGAAAAAATCAGAAAATTTGTAACTTGAGTATTATCAACTCGATGTTCTAGGTCCACAACTTCCAAGAAATTTCCTCAACCTAACCCAAACAAAATCCGACTCTACCTCTAACTTCTAAAAATATAACTTTATACCAAATATTTAATTATAGATAGTAGGATAACAGAAAAAGTGCTAAAAACTTACATGAGGCGCATACTGATGGACTGACTATCTCTGTCTTAAATCTTTTAGATGAAAGGGCAATAAATATTCAATAAGGCATGACCTGACATGTTTTGATGGATTTTCAGTTTTAAGTTTCAAAGCATTTCCCCCTCCAGATTTATAAAACTATCTACTATAAAAAATTTGAAGATATTAGAAGATTATTTGTATTTCATCCCAAAGGTTCTATTTTAGTCATGGTTGCCCTTTTGGATGGAAAAAAACTTTTCAAAACATCAGGCTATTTAGGTACTGTGTTCTTGACCTTTTATCTTCTGACCAAAACTATCAATATGGCCTTACTCATTCAAAGGATGTTGATAACAAGCTGAGCAATTTTTTAATGAAGGTTGAAAATATCCAGAAATAAAACTGTCACAAAAGATCTTATCTTCCAACCAAACTTTCCTTAAAATTTTAGTCTATTTATAGGCACTTTGATCTTCCAACCAAAAAATCAATAGATTCCTATATTTCGGATTTTTATGAAATTTTAAATGCATTTTGGACTTGTTAAATTATATTTGAACATTTAATAAGTGATCATGAAATATGCAAAATTCATATTTTTCAGAGATACAATCAATTAAAAATTTATGAAAAGGATATATAAAATGTATAAAATGTACAAAAAAAGCATAGATATGATACATTTTATTTACTTTGAATTTCAATTTCTTAAAATTCTGACCACAGAATGCCACATATTGGTTTTTTATTTAAAATTATCATAGTCTCGGTATGTACCTAGTGAAAATGCTTTGAAGAACAAAATAAGCAAATAATGTCATGACTGCCTCACACTGCAATATCGTAATTTTTCGTGTGTTTTTCATGCATCGCTCAAACTTTAATGATAAAGGCTACAAAACAAATCTGATGACCCCCTATTATTTTTCTTATCATTAAAACCAAAATATGCTCAGTGATTACGTATCATTTTAAAACAAAATTCTGCGGAAATTTGAGATTCATTTCTTCATTGCTTTTGAACTTAATCATGTCCATGAAAATTCTATACATGTTTACGTTCTATTTATAAATATTTAATTTATCTCTAGAATCTATACATCAATGCTACATATACCAATTTTTTTTTCTATTCAAATGCAGTTCAACGAGACAGTTCTAAATGCATAATCAAATATCTGAGAAAAACTAGAGGCTCTAAAGAGTCTGTTTTGCTCACCTGCATCTTCAACAATGGCCAATTTTTGATAAAAATTATCATGAAAGGGCAATAAATCTATATAGAGTTAATTGACAATTTCAGTCATGTTGATGTAATTATAGATCTTATCCTGCTGATAATTTTTACTTTTTAAAGTTTATATGTTCATTTATCATATTTTACTTTTCAAGATAATATGCAAAAACTCAAATAAAATGGTAAAAATCATCTTTAAAGAGCAATAACTCCAATAACGAGTTGACTGAAGATTTCAGCTATGATGGCTTACTTGTAGATTTTGTCTTGCTGATGATTTTTGCTATTCAAAGTTTCTATCTATTTATTATAATTTTCAAGATAATAGGCAAAAATGCTGTAAAATGGGAAAAATCATCATTAAAGGGCAATAACTTTGATAAGGAGTCGACTGACAATTTCCATCAGGATGAATTATTTACAGATATATTTTTGTTGATAATTTTGGCTACATAACGATTCTATCTATCTATTATACATGTTATAGTTTCTAAGATATTAGGCAAAAAGGCAAAAAATTGGTAAAAATCGAACACATATGGACAAATGAAAAAATACACATTTTCAAAAATATTGTTCTGTATACCAGTACTGTCTTATGGTCATAAACAAGCTTCTGTCCAAATTTCATAAAATTCCATGAAGATTTGACAAAGTTATTGATGACAGAAAAACTTAAACCTTAGATTGAATCTTACTGTTAACTGTAAAAAAAAAAACTAAGTTCATTCATCAGTAAAATACAAAATAAATGAGAATGAGTATTTTCAAAATTTTCCTCTGGTCATAAAAAAGCTTCTGTCCAAATTAAAAATAAATTTGGATAGTGTCCACATGTGGACACAGATGATGCCCCCGCTTGCATATCATATAGTTATAAAGGGACATAACTGAAGAACGTTAAAAGTGACGCTACCCAAATTTGTACTTGATCTGAGCTTTGTGGTAATAAGCATTGTGTGCAAGTCTCATAACATTTGGTTGAGGCTAACTTAAGTAGAGAACAGAAACTAAAAATTCAGCAATTTTTCTATTTGTAAACACACATAACTCTAGAACGGTTGTGTATAAGTTTTATAACATTTGGTTGAGACAAACTAAAAAATTCAGCAATTTTTATGTTTATAAAGGGACATAACTCAAGAATGGTAAAAGTGTCGCCACCAAATTTCGTACTTAATCTGTATTATGTAGTAATAAGCATTGTGTATATGTTTCATAACATTTGGTTGAGGCAAACTAAAGTTAGAAAACAAAAAAATTGTACTTGATCTTAGTTTTGTGGTAATGAATATTGTGTATAGGTTTCATAATGTTTGGTTGGGGCAAACTTAAGTTACAGAATGGAAACTAAAAATTTTGCAATCTTTCGATTTATAAAGGGGCATAACTCAATAATGGTTAAAATGACACTACCCAAATTCAACTTGATCTGTGTTTTATCAGTGGAAGTCAAAATTAAACATTGCATTGTATAAAGCATTGATTGTAGTTGATTCAACTATAATCATGGACAAAGGAAGATAACTCCAATTTTAAAAATTACTTGATATTAAGAAGAAAATAAAAATTTTGCAATTTTTCCATTTATAAAGGGGCATAACGCTAGAATGGTTAGAGTGACGCCACCAAAATTCAAACTTGATCTGTGTTTTGTGGTAATAAGCATTGTGTATAAGTTTCATCAGATTTGGTTGAGGCAAACTCAAGTTAGAGAACGGAAACCAATTTTGGGACGTACAGACGGACAAGGGTAACACTTAATGCCACCATCGCTACGGCGGGGGCATAAAAAAGGCTTGACAAAGTTATTCATCTTTAAAAAATTTTAACCACAGACTGAACCTAAATGTTGACACTGCAAACCACGACAGAATCTAGGATTGCTGTTTCGCTTTCATGATATAAATTGTAATTTTTGTAAGGGAAAATAATAATAATTTCATCTTTTTGTACACTGTAAACTGAAGGAAGAAGTTCGGCGGAAAATGTTTGAGAAAGTTCAATGTAAACAACAACCCCCTCATACTATCATAGGTGGGGCATACAAATCAATAGGGTCATTTTTACAATAAGCCTTCTATTCCCAAGGGGCTTAACTCTTGAAAACTAGAGACTCTAAAGCACCTGTGTCGCTCATCTGGATATATGTGTATCTTCAACTATGGCCACTCTCCAACATTGTAGTCAGGAATATAATTAGATCTCATCTTGTGGATCATTGTTGCTGTCTGCAGTTTTTCTTTTTTCCCCAAACTTTTCCCCCAAAATGCAAAAAATGGATAAAAAAAATCATCATTAAAGGGCAATAACTCATAAAAAGAGTTGACTGACAATTTCAGCCATTTACACATCGTAGTTATTGTTCTGCTCAGCATTTTTGCTTCTTAAAGTTTTGACCCAACTATTAGTTTTCAAGTTAATAGGAAAAAATTGTAGAAATTGGTAAAATTTGTCATTTAAGGGCAATAACTCCTATATGTAGTTTACTAACAATTAAGGCCATGTTGGATTATTTGTAGATCTTGTCATGCTGATCATTTTTTTCTCTTAAATTTTTGAGATAATAGGCAATATTGCGCATTTGGAATACATAACTATAAGCCTAGTATCTTTGACGAGATTTTCTTTCAAGATAATAGGCAAAAACAAAAACAAAATGGTAATAATCATCATTTAAGGGCAATAATGTTAACACCAATTAAAATTTGACTAACTGTTTCTGCCATGCAGACTTATTTGTAGATCTTGTCTTGTTGATCATTTATACAATTTCAAGATTCTCTCTATCTATAATAGTTTTCAAGTTATTAGGCAAAAATGAAATAAATGATAAACATTGTCATTTAAGATCTAGAGCAACAAACACATGAAACTCCTATATGATTTTGTCTGATAGTTTTGATGTAAATGGACAGTAGGTAGATCTCAACATTTTAAACATTCATGTCCCAGTCAGATTTTTTCTATCTATAGTGGTTTTTAAGACAATAGACAAAACTTGCATTTCAACCCTATGTTCTATTTTTAGTAATGTCAGCCATTTTGGTTGGAAGGCAGGATCATTGGACACAATTGTGTAACAAGATACAGCAATGATGATTGTGGCCAAGTTTGGTTCCAATTGGACAAGTTAGTTTCAGAGTTGAAGATTTTTGTAAAAGTTTAGGTGAGATTAAAACCTTACTGATACCTTGAAAATCTGACAAGAAATGTAGCCTTGAGAGTTCTGTGTATGTAATTTCCCATATGATTTAAATTTCCAAGGGGCATTAATCCTGTAAAAATATTTGATCAGCACCGATTTTCTAACACTTCCCAGACATTGCTGATACAACTCTTTGATATGAATATTTCATAAAAATCCTAAAAGAAATGTATAAGCTTGAGTTTGCTTAGAATGTCATTTCCTATATACTATTTTTTTTTACATCTCTGAGGGACATAACTCCTGTAAAAATAAGTGATCAGCATTGATTTATCAAATTTGTCCCTGACAAAATTAATATAAACCTTTGATATAAGAAATGTAGGCTTGAGATTGCATACAATGCAATTTTCCATATAATATATTTCCAAGAGGCAAAACTCCTTTCAAAATAGTTGATCAGCACTGATGTTAAAACTCCTATGAGATGATGATATATACCTTCATTAAACAATTTATAATAAAAATGGCAGCATTGTATGCAGAGAAGACATGACTGATGGAGTCACAAACATTCCAAGGGACATAATTCCCTTAATGAGTGTGCCAGCTCTGAAATGTCTCCCCAGCTTTACTGATCATGACTGGTCTGAATTTATGTTAAAAATTATTGAAAGATTAAGGTTTTACTAAAAGTAGCACATTAACTAAACATTATCAACAATTCCAACTGTGATATTGCTCACTGATAGCTCACTATGCCTATATATATATAAACAGAGATAAACATTATTCCATGTTTTAAGGACCCTGTCTAGTTTTAAATCTGAAGTACATAATATATGTAAAATATACACATGACCACTCTATCATTAGCAGTTAATCAGTGTAAACATTTTCCCTGCTTACTTTCAGATATTAATTTCTTCATATAAAATTCCTTTGTTCCATCCTTAAAGCGAAGAATTTCACATCCATACAACTCCCATACTTCAGCCATCAGATCATTATCAATTGGAGCAATGTCTCTATCTGTCACGTCATACTTTTCAGTTCGGAATTTCTGATGGGTACAGATAACTGCTAGTCCTCGAGTTGCACATTTCTTGGTAGTAGCCTCTCTCTTCAGTTCCCTGTGAAGATATACTATAAATATATTTAAGTTAAATTAAAATAATCTAAACAGCTGCAATATAAGGCTTGATTAAGGAACCATGTAAACAATTGTTATGGTATAAACACTTGAGACCCCACAAATCATGAAGTGTTAACCAGGACTGTACACAAACATTAACCACTTCATGAATAAAACAGTCAATGTGGAGCTTCCACATGTACATGTTAAGTTTAAGTGTTTCATCACATAATATAATAGTAAAGAGATGTGGGTATACATCAATGAAACAGCAACCCAATGACAAAAAAAAACTGAAAGATTTCTAAAGGATAAGACATTGTTGGTCTGCATCAATAGACAATTGTCTATACAATATGTCAAGGTTAATAAAATCGCTCCTAATTCCTAAACAGTTGGGACCCTCGCTCCAAAAACATTCCCAACCTTCCTTTTGTGGTATTGAACCTTTTGGTTAAATTTCATAGAGATCCATACATTTAAACTAAAGTTATTGTCCGGAAACCAAATGTCTTCCGACGACGCCAAAGAAGATGATGACGATGACGTGATACCAATATACGAACGCAAAAATTTTTTGCAGTTGTATAAAAATAAAATCCTTCCACCCATCCCATTTACAACAAGCTGGATGAAAATCTACTAATTAATTTTAGTTGGCCGAAAAATGGTATTTTTCTACTTCAAATTGTGATCTATTTAAATTCTGTCCACTGGATATTGTTAAGAAATATTATGCTACTGCAGTAAAAAAATCCCGTTTTAATATTAACATCATAGGGCCAGGGTCACAGCCTTCTTTCTCATTAATGTAACAGAGTTGTCAAGTCACAACTGGAGATTTGAAAATTTTCAGCTGGAGTTTGGGCCTCCTAACTGGAGATTTTTTATCGACATATTTATCACTGTTTTCAGTTTTCATTTTGATGATAAAGCTACATATTTCCCCTTTTTCTATGATTACAGTATTACTATTAATGTATTCTCTCTGTATTGTTATCATGTGAAATATTTGTCAACACTAAGCTATACTATTTGTATGTGATTTTATTCCTTTCCTCATCTATTTCATCTTTAGTGTGTTCCTCAAATCCATCATCCAATAGTTATGTATGTGTTCATTTATCTAGCTAACTTTAATTTAACCTAATTTAGCATAAACACTCTCACAGTCATTATGATGAGGGTGGTTTATATACAACCTTGCCTACTCATGAAGGTCTTACAGGGTCTGTCAGTCACTACTAACTAACTGGTGGTGTTTAATGACCTTGACTGGCTGGTAAGCCCTCGCACAGTCGGTATATCAGTCATTACAGAAGGTCAATACATGTCTTATAAATTTCAATTTAAGAATTGAAAAGAAGTATAGATCTCCCAAATAATTTTCAAAATAATATTTTCTTATGTGTCCTAAGACATTTAAAATCAATAAATTACCATCCTTATATGATTTATTTCATTCATATTCTTTTATCAATTTATATTATTTTAAGGAGGGTAACTTCAAACATGATAAAACAAGGGAAGTAACCTGAAATTTCTTTTAAGTGTTTTCAAATACACAAAGCTTTATTATGTAACGGCAGTTAGCCTGAGGTAAAAGTCATTGATTAATAGTATGTTTGAGCTGTCAAGTGAAGCCATATAATTATACATGTTCTTTGATTTACAGGTAAAAATTATCTTCATCAGTGACACAAAAACGTAATTAATGTTGACATCAATGGTAATAAAAAATAGAGGCTGACAACTTTTTTGGGGTTGAAATTTTGAAAAATGAATGGGGAATGTGTCCATGGGACACTGATGATGCCCCCTCTTGCATATCATATAAAGTTATAAAGGGACATAACTGAAGAACAGTAAAAGTGATGCTACCCAAATTTGTTATTAGTCCCCTACCAACGAAGTCGAAGGGGACTTTAGGTTTGCACTCTGTCCGTCTGTCTGTCCGTCCGTCTGTCCATCCGTCAGTCCGGCAACTTAGCTTTCCACACTTTTTTTCTTCGTTCTTGAAGATATTGATTTGATATTTGGTATATAGTTTTATCATGACAAGTTATAGATCAAGTTCGAATTTTGTTCCGGTTTGATGATTTAGTCTAGAGTTATGGTCCATAAAAAAACTCCATAACTAATGTTAGAGTACTATGTTAAACCATATAATCTGTACAAAGGGAGATAACTCATTATTTAAAAAAACATTCTTTGGTAAATTGTTTGAGGAATTTTGTGGCAGGTTTATATGTTATTTTTTATAAACTAATTTTCTGAATGCTACATGTATATATATATTTTTTTTTTTATTAAGTGAAATCCTTTAATTAGATAATAATCTATTTTTATTAAGGTATATATTTCATTACATTACATTGTGTAGATAAAAGTTGTTGAAATTTTATAGGTAAGTTACAAATCTATATTAGTTTGTGACAAATAAAAGAAAAAACATTTGGAACTATTAATTAGGGCCCCGCCAAATGGCGGACGCCCTATAGTGATCAGTCTGTCTGTCCGTCCGTCTGTCCGTCCGTAACAAATTGTGTCCGCTCTATATCTAGAGAACCGTTATGATTTCAAAGTTTATACTTGACATGTATATTAACCAACACCAGAGGGTGTGTCATAATGTATGTACAACTTCCTAGGTCAAAGGTCAAGGTCAAAAACTTTGGTTTAAGTTGACAACCCCATGTCCTATGGTAAAGATCGTGTCTGCTCTATATCTTGAGAACCGTTATGATTTCAAAGTTTATACTTTACATGTATATAAACTAACACCAGAGGGTGTGTCATAATGTATGTACAACTTCCTAGGTCAAAGATCAAGGTCAAAAACTTTGGTTTTAGTTGACAACCCCATGTCCTATGGTAAAGATACAAATTTTTTACCAGACATTATTCACAGCGGGGCCCACAGAGATGGCTCCCATCTCAATGATATCTAGTTATATTTGATTGTAATTTGAAAATAGATATACATTGTATTACATCATATCTAATGTTAGCTAGAGTGTTATAGGTTTTCCACACTTTTTTTCATCATGCTTGAAGATATTGATTGACAATTGGTAAATAGTTTTATCATGACAAGTTACAGATCAAGTTCAAATTTTTGTTTCGGTCTGATAATTTTGTGCAGAGTTATGGTCCTTGGACTTGAAAAAATTCACTCATATATTCAGTTTTCCACACTATTTTTAGTCATGCTTGTTGATCTGAGTTTTGTAGTAATAAGTATTGTGTATATGTTCATAACATTTGGTTGAGGAAAACTTAAGTTAATAGAGAACAGAAAAGAAAAATTCAGCATTTTTTTCCTTTTGTAAAGGGGCATAACTCTAGAACAGTAAAAGTGATGCCACCTAAATTCAAACTTGATCTGTATTTTGTGGTAATAAGCATTGTGTATAAGTTTCAAAACATTTGGTTGAGGCAACCTTAAGTTAAAGAACAGAAACGAAAAATTCAGCAATACACCAGTTTCACATTTAACTGCGCATGTGTCTATTCTAATTAGCCAAACTATGAAATCACGCGATAATCCCTGAGAGTTCATCAACTGGGGGCTTACGGTTGATAAGCAGTGACCATGCATACTTGGAAAAACAATCATCTGATTAAGTGTTTGCGTTTACATGTCCAAGCAACATGAGCATCATTTGAATCAAAATATAAAAATTTTACTGAGGAGACAACTTTATTAACAATGACACATTCAAAGATTTAAAACGGACTACTGCTGTGTTGTTGGTAGCAGTAATTTACAATCTGATATGCCACCTGGCTTTAATTGTACCTTTAATTGTCACGAATTCACGCTGAGGTCGTTCACTTAACGGGAAGAATAAATTAAATAAATAAGCGGGGCTCACTTCATATACATAGTAAAAGGTCATAAATTAAGAAGTCAATTAACACCTTAGCCATGTGGAATCCTCGTTTTACCTTGTACAATCTCACCAGGTGACAACTGATAAAAACGTACCCTTTTCTATACATACAGTTACTGAAAAGGGCGACCATTTGATTAATTTATTCAACTTTTGTACACAATTATTTCCTGCATTTTGTGTAGCAGATTATTCTTTTCCATCCTGTCTTGGTCATAATTATTTATTTTTAACTCCTACTAGAATATTTATTTTCTGACCCCCACCCGGAAAATCAAATGGTCATCCCCTAATATAGATGTTTAAAATGTTAACCCTGGTACCTAATTACACTGAGATATCATGGCCAGTACGTATACGGTTAATGCCACTGGGAATATTTTAACAATTTAGAAGGGGGGTCATTCAGCAATTTAATCTTATTTTATGGCAAAGCGTGGTAATAACAGGATATTCAATTACTTTTAATGGCATGAAAAATGATAAAAGTTTAAAATATGTAGAAAATTACTCTGGCCGCTGAACCTCTGCTCAGACGAAGTCGATCATGAACATAGCTTAAAAATTAAAATGCTATTGCATGCATTGTATTATAGTCTGATTTTTGAAAATTGAAGATAAACCTGTATTTCTGATACGTATTTTAAAACTGCCTTATATCTCACTTTATTATCATGACCGTCTAAAACATCACTGACACAAAAATATTTGAAACAAATGTACACACAAATAAGAAGATGTGGTATGAGTGCTAATGAGACATCTCAATCCAAGTCACAATGTATAATAAATGTGGATAGTGTCCACATGTGGACACAGATGATGCCCCCGCTTGCATATCATATAGTTATAAAGAGACTTAACTGAAGAACGGTAAAAGTGACGCTACCCAAATTTGAACTTGATCTGAGTTTTGTGGTAATAAGCATTGTGTGTAAGTCTCATAACATTTGGTTGAGGCTAACTTAAGTAGAGAACAGAAACTAAAAATTCAGCAATTTTTCTATTTGTAAACACCCATAACTCTAGAACAGTTGTGTATAAGTTTTACAACATTTGGTTGAGACAAACTAAAAAATTCAGCAATTTTTATGTTTATAAAGGGACATAACTCTAGAATGGTAAAAGTGTTGCCACCTAATTTCGTACTTAATCTGTATTATGTAGTAATAAGCATTGTGTATAAGTTTCATAACATTTGGTTGAGGCAAACTCAAGTTAGAGAACTGAAACAAAAAAATTGTACTTGATCCTTGCTGAGTTTTGTGGTAATGAATATTGTGTATAGGTTTCATAATGTTTGGCTGGGGAAAACTTCAGTTACAGAATGGAAACTAAAAAAATTTGCAATCTTTCTATTTATAAAGGGGCATAACTCAATAATGGTTAAAGTGACACTACCCAAATTCAACTTGATCTGTGTTTTATCAGTGGAAGTCAATATTAAACATTGCATTGTATTAAGCATTGATTGTAGTTGATCCAACTATAATCATGGTCAAAGGAAGATAACTCCAATTTTAAAAATATATTATATAAACTTGATATTTAGAAGAAAATAAAAATTTTGCAATTTTTCCTTTTATAAAGGGGCATAACTCTAGATCGGTTAAAGTGACACCACCAAAATTCAAACTTGATCTGTGTTTTGTGGTAATAAGCATTATGTATAAGTTTCATAACATTTGGTTGAGGCAAACTTAAGTTAGAGAACGGAAACTAAAAATTTTGCAATATTTCCTTTTATAAAGGGGCATAACTCTAGATCGGTTAAAGTGACGCCACCAAAATTCAAACTTGATCTGTGTTTTGTGGTAATAAGCATTGTGTATAAGTTTCATAACATTTGGTTGAGGCAAACTGAAGTTAGAGAACGGAAACCAATTTCGGGACGTACGTACGTACGTACGTACGTACAGACGGACAAGGGTAAAACTTAATGCCCCCTCCGCTACGGCAGGGGCATAAAAAGTTAACAATTATAGGTCAAAGTACGGTCTTCAACACGGAGCCAGGGCCCTGTCTATTACATGTCTATTAAATTAACAGGAAAGTGTTCTATTTTAGTTATATGCCATGTATGCTGGATAAAACGCTTGGTGGCTCAATTTTTTCTGATGGTATTCTGAAGGCATTTTATAAGAGCTATCTTCTCACATTTTATTTTGAAATTCAATCATTCATTTTACCTTCAAATATTCATATAATGATGCCTTAAAAATTTTCTCTGTATAATCCATACAAAATGTTTCGTAAAATTTCACAGCCTGTGGCTTGACAACAAACTCGGTGACCTATCATTGTGTTTTTCATATTTTTAACATATCACAATATATACTACATCTTTGACAAAGGATATAAGGAAAAATTCTGTCAATTTTCGTTTATACTTCCATACTACCATTTAATAGTGGAAATTTCGATTATTTAGTAGTGCCGGTAACTTGTCCTTGTACCCATAAAATTTCACGCATAATTAAGTCACCATAACAGTAACCTGTTTTTGTTTAAAAGAAAATTAAAAGTTCGAGTCTTATGATACTAAACATATATGTAGGCCGTAACCCTTTACATGCATGTCACAAGAAGATGTAAAAAAAATATTTAAGAAAAAATGTGAATTGATACTGGAACAGAACTGAAATTAAATGTATTTCTGATGTTTAGGTTGTTTTCTTTTTATCAAAACATTTTTCTCTTTTCACGAAAAATCAAACTGACATACAGCAATGTAGCCCAGTAAGCAAAAGAAAGCAATTACAAGATTAATACTTTTTTAAAACCATTTCACTCATAAACACAACTGTTATGAACTCTTTACAGCAACAGGATGACTTATTTTCTCGTTTGAATTGTTTTGTGTCGGGACCTTTTAGAGCTTACCATTCGGTATGGATTTTCTCATTGTCGAGGGCTGTATGGTGACATATGGTTGCTTTCATCTGTCATTTGGCTCTGGTGGATAGTTGTCTCATTTGCAATCATACCACATCTTTTTATTTTAAATTTATGTTATTCTCTGTTTAAACGGTCAAACTATTTATTCTGAATATATAAAATAAACGATTATTAATATCTTAAAATTAAATAATCTCAAGCATACACCACAAAATAGAGATGTGTATTATCGGTTGATTTATTATTGTGTAGCTAAATATCAGAGTCAATTCGATGTAGCCCCTGTCACGTATGATATCGTTAATTATCCTGCAATCAGCCAACTATTGTACAAATAACAGGTACACAAATAAATTTTTGCTTTATTTGTACTTGTACAAATAAAGTCTCCTGTTACCCCTCTTCCATGTTGAGCAAGCGGTAATGTGGATATTTCTTTTTGCATACCAGTTCATTTTGGGGTCCTCTTCGCTGTCCGCGTTTAAACTTTGTCGATTTCTTTGAAAAGTTAGAGACAATGATTTAGATTTTTCAAGTGTTGGGTGTAAATTTCAGGATAAAAACAATATATGTACATTGTCGGAAAATATAAAATTTATTTGTACTCGCTGCGAAACAGGAGAAAAGCTTGGCGAGCCTCGCTTTTCGTCCTGTTTCTAAAGCTCATACAAATAAATTTTATGTTTTCGGACAATGTACATATATTGTATATTTATCGTGGGATTTAAACTCAAACGCGCATATGATTTCAAGATCAGCGTTGATAAGTCGCTTATGTGAAACTGGTCTTTTTTTCCATTTGTAAAGGGGCATAACTCTAGAGCGGTAAAAGTGACGCCACAAAAATTCAATCTTGATCTGTGTTTTGTGGTAATAAGCATTGTGTACAAGTTTCATAACATTTGGTTTAGGCAAACTAAAGTTAGAGAACGGAAATGAAAAATTCAGCAACTTTTCCATTTGTAAAGGGGCATAACTCTAGAACGGCAAAAGTGACGCCACCAAAATTCAAACTTGATCTGTGTTTTGTGGTAATAAGCATTTTGTTTAAGTTTCATAACATTTGGTTGAGGCAACTAAAGTTAGAGAACGGAAACCAACTTTGGGACGTACGGACGGAAGGACGTACGTACAGACGGACAAGGGTAAAACTTAATGCCCCCTCTGCTATGATGGGGGCATAAAAACGGAAGATTTGAATTATTATCGGGAGGGACAGAAGAGGGCTTCAAAATCAGGGATATTTACACCCCCTCCGGAAGAATCACATGTCTGCTTTCTGCCCTCTTAATCATTGTTAAAGTTCGAGAGATGTATGATAAAACATGAAAACTATCAATTTCAAAACAAAAAATTTTGACACTCAAGTATGGTCATGATGTACATTTGAAATGCTAATTTTGTACTTTTTGACACTTTTTTGCACTTCATGTATATAGATGAACTGAATTGAACTATAAATGAGTCCAGAGACTCTTATACATGTTATAAATTGTATGTCATTAAAACAGAGAAGCTCATTAAACAAAATTCTTAAGACAGGTTTTCAAGAAATATTCTGAAAGTCAGGTTCTAAATACATTAAAAAAATTCAAAAAATCCAAAATACTGCTCAATTACATATAACAGTTAAGGATATTAACATCTTTAAGAATGCAATTGATAGTTTCTGTCATATTCACACTATTGTAGACCTTGTATTGTTGAGAATCATTTTGGATCTTGAGTAACTGATTATTTTTGCTGTATACTGCAGTTTCTACCTACTGTCTATATATAAGAATAAGAAGATGTGGTATGATTGCCAATGAGACAACTCTCCACAAGAGACCAAATGACACAGAAATTAACTATAGGTCACTGTATGGCCTTCAACAATGAGCAAAGACCATACCACATAGTCAGCTATAAAAGGCCCTGAAATGTAAAACAATTCAAACGAGAAAACTAGCGGCCTAATTTATGTACAAAATGATGAGCGAATAACAAATATGTTACACAGCAACAAAGGACAACCACTGTATTATGCATGTTATATGATTTTCAAGATTATAGACAGAAACAGTTTTCAAGTTAATAGACCAAAACTCTAAAATTGGCCAAAAATCATTAAGGTATTTAAGAGGGATATCATTTGATGGTTTCCAGTCATTATGGTATTTTTGTAGATCTAGTTTTCCTGACCATTTTTGAAATTAATTGTTTCTGCCACAGTGTTACGACTATCAAAAAAAAAAGAAGCAAAAACATAAAAAATATGTAAAAAAAAACCTATAATGGGATACCTAATAGTTTCAGGTATATCCACAATTTTTTTAAATCTTGTATTATAAATGATAATTTTTGTAGTTCACAGTTTCTGCCTATCTATTTAGAGTTTTCTAGAAAATAAGCAAATATGTTGGAATTGTTAAAAAAAGTCTCATTTCAGGGCGATATAACTCTTTTCAGGAGTCAAGTAATAGTTTTAATCAATTGGGTTATTTTGTAGATCTTATACTGATGATCATTTTTAGTATTTAGTTACATTTTTTAGTCTTAGTATCAAAAACCTTATTTAAGATAAAAATACGAAGATGTGGTATGATTGCCAATGAGACAATTCTCCTCCAGAAACCAAATGACGTAGAAGGTTATCAACTATACTAGGTCAGGTCAATTACCCTTATAAGCAGTCAATTGATCGTTTCAGTCATATCAACGATATTGATATTTCAATTGATGAACTTCTTTTAGTTTCTGTATATCTATTGTAGTTTTCAAGAAAAAAGACAAAAAAGCTCAAATTGGTCAACACCTGGAGTGTGCGGAGAGAGTGTGTTCGATGCTTGCCAGCTGGCTGGGTCAAACCAGTGATGGAAAATTGGTATTTGCTGCTTCTCCACTAAGCACACAGCATTCAGGTATATGCATGTTCAATACTTACAATTTGTTTTTACTCAATAAATTTGTACCTTGAATCAATTTCCTCTTTTACTTTAGGACCATCAACATTTTGATTGTTATTGCCAATAGCAACATCTCCTGTTTCAGTATTATTTTCTTTTGGTAACCTCATGGGTCCTGCAATTACTATAGGTTGTGTAACTTGTGTTTGTTTTCTACTGTCTAATTCTACAAAAGTTGCATCAATCACAAATATCATAGCTTGTTAGCAAAAATCTGATATATGATTTACAATCGTACCATGAATTATGACGAATGATATACATGTTTACTATATTCCCTCTCTCCCATTTTTATAAAACTTGTACAGAACAAGAAGCTCCAAGGAGCAGTTATCTATCATAGATCTGTATGTTTGTCTCGATTAATATTCAGTACATTTCCCCAATAAGGCTCAATAGAATGGTTTCAACCCCACTCGCCAGGATTCAAGTTTACTTTAAATTGGTCTAGTTGTTTCATAGTAGAGAATAATTTAGTGAACTCTTAAATAAATTATTGTTTAAAAAAAAATTAAACACCAGACTGAACCTAAATGTTGCTGGAATCTAAGATCACTACATATAAATATGTCTCACTTTCATGACTAACTTGACACAATATTATTAAGCATTGTTTTACTAGTATATATACCTCCATGACCTCTAGTCTACAATATTGTTATAATACATGTACCGGTATATAGATAAGTGCTTTTCTGAACTGATTTTTATTGTATGTTCTTCGCGCCTGTTCAGGTGCCTGTTCTAAGTCAGGAATATAGTCAGTGGTTACGTCTTTAGTTAGAGCAAAACCTGTCTAAGTGACAACCTGTATGTATATCCTACATGTATCTATAGGGACCAAAATAATTCCCCCAAGGAATGTTGCTGTTGAGCAATATTTTGAAAAACGAATTCCTAAATGATTATACGGCCATAACGCCCAAAATCAATCCCAGTGTTCCTTTTTTGGTATGGAACCTTGTACAATTTCATAGAGATCCATACACTTATACTCAAGTTATTATCTGGAAACCAAATGTCTTTGTACTACAAAGAAGATGACAACGTTATACCATTATGCAACGGCAAAAAATTTGGGGCTGTATAAAAAAATGAATTTATGCAAACATAAAAAATAAAATGCTTCGCTGGGGCGCAGCTTGATACGACCGCAGAGGTCGAACCCTGAACAGTTGGGGCAAGTATGGACACAACATTCAAGCTTGAAACAGCTCTGAATTTGGATTGTTATTAAATATTTGACACAGCATAGGTTTCTGACACAGAAAGAATGTGGTCTAAGAACTTAAAAATTTTAAATTTGACATTCACCTATTATGGTCCAATATCCAAAATCTAAATACATGGTTAGATTCAGCATATCAAAGAACCCCAAGAATTCAATTTTTGATGAAATCAAACAAAGTTTAATTTTGGACCCCAACTTGGACAAACTTGAAAACTGGGCCCATAATCAAAAATCTAAACACATGTTTAGATTCAGCATATCAAAGAACCCCAAGAATTCAATTTTTGCTAAAATCAAACTAAGTTTAATTTTGGACCCTTTGGACCTTAATGTAGACCAATTTAAAAAACGGGACTTAAAATTAAAAATCTAAATACACAGTTAGATTTGGAATATCAAAGAACCCCAATAATTCAATTTTTGATGAAATCAAACAAAGTTTAATTTTGGACCCTTTTGACCTCAATATGAACCAATTTGATAGCGGGGCCCACAAATAAAAATTTAAATTCATGGTTAGATTCAGCATATCAAAGAACCCCATATATTCAATTTTTGTTGAAATCAAAAAAAGTTTTATTTTGGACCCCAACTTAAACCAACTTGAAAACTGGGCCCATAATCAAAAATCTAAACACATGTTTAGATTCAGCATATCAAAGAACCCCAAGAATTCAATTTTTGTTAAAATCAAACTAAGTTTAATTTTGGACCCTTTGGACCTCAATGAAGACCAATTTAAAAAACGGGACTTAAAATTAAACATCTATTAACACGGTTAGATTTGGAATATCAAAGAACCCCAATAATTCAATTTTTGATGAAATCAAACAAAGTTTAATTTTGGACCCTTTTGACCTCAATATGAACCAATTTGATAGCGGGGCCTACAAATAAAAAATCTAAATACATGGTTAGATTCAGCATATCAAAGAACCTCATATATTTCAATTTTTGTTGAAATCAAACAAAGTTTAATTTTGGACCAACTTGAAAAATGGGCCCATAATCAAAAATCTAAATACATGTTTAGATTCAGCATATCAAAGAACCCCATATATTCAATTTTTGTTGAAATCAAACAAAGTTTAAATACTGGACCCGAATTTGGACCAACTTGAAAACTGGGCCAAAAATCAAAAATCTAAATACATGTTTAGATTCAGCATATCAAAGAACCTCATATATTCAATTTTTGTTAAAATCAAACAAAGTTTAATTTTGGACCCTTTGGACCTTAATGTAGACTATTTTGAAAACTGGACCCAAAATTAAAAATCTAAATACACTGTTAGATTCGGCATAACAAATAAATAAATGTGATCAAAGATTTAACAAATCTAATGCGCCATACTGTGCAATTAAAGATTACTTCTTGAAATTTTTCAATATTTGAAATTTGAAAAAAAAATAATATTTGAAGAATAATTCTTTTTAATTTCTGAAATCTGAAATGAGAAAAAATTGACCCCCCACAATTTCTTTTTATCCCCCCCCCTTTTTTCCCCCAAAAAAATTCTTTCCTCAAGATATGGTGATAATCTCAATTCAAATTTCCAATGGAGTTGGCAAACATAATTACCCATTTAAATTTACCTTAGTGCTAACTTAATCTATTTTATAATAGAATTTAAAATATAGTGTCAAATCTTTCATATGGATTTTTTTGTAAAAAAAATGATGCAACATTTGCAGATATTTTTACTGGTCTTCCTTTATAAATATGCATTTCTTTAAACATAATTTAAAAGCAGTGTAAGGGAAGTAACCAAAACGTTGTATTTGGATTACCTCCCTTACACTGTTTTAAATTATCTTTATTGTTTATTAACCATTACTTTATACATAATTTAAAAGCAGTGTAAGGGAGATAATTTCAATGATGTATTTGATTTATCTCCCTTACACTGCTTTAAATTATGTTTTGTACTAAAGTATTTGTCCATTAACCAGGACAACCTTGTTTTTCCCCCTTTTTTGCCCCTAATTCCTAAACGGATTGAGCCATAACCCCCCAAAGCAAATCCTAACCATCCCTTTGTGGTATGGAAACTTGTAGTATAATTTCAGAGAGATCCATACAACGTTCCACAGTTATTGTCTGGAAACTAGAAAATGCTTATTTTTGGCCCCTAATTCCTTAACTGTTGGTACCATAACCCCAAAATCAATCCCAACCTTCCTTTTGTGGTATTTAACCTTATGGTAAAATTTCAAAAAGATCCATTCACTTAAACTAAAGTTAGAGTGCGAAAACCAATGTGTCTTCGGACGACGACGACGCCTTTGTCATACCAATATACGACCACAAAATTTTTTTGCGGTCGTATAAAAATGACAATGTTTTTTAAAGGAGCATGTTTTATTTTTTGAATCAGTATTTTCCACCTGATAAGACACCTTACAACTAAGTTTTTGTAATGCTTTTTAAAATACAAAAAGAACCATTACTTTATACTTTATTATTATTTCTTCTATCTTAAAATTGTTATAATTCTGGAATATCTTTCATGTCAAAAGAAATTTGAAACAATATTTGTGTAATCATGGTAATTTTTTTTTTGTAATATTCATAGTACTGGATACTTTTTCTATTTCATTTTTTCAATATAAATTAAAATATAAAAGTAAACATTAGTTTAGGGGCCAGTTAAAGCCCACCTCTGGGTGCAAGATTTTTCTCGCTGTGTTGAAGACCCATTGTGGATGTGGGCTGTTTTCTGCTCTTTAGGTGGATTGTTGTCTCTTTGACTCATTCCCCCAAAACGATAGAATCCCTTAAGTGGATATCTCGAGTATACAGGGTTGTTACGATAAAAAAAAAAAATGTGGATAGTGTCCACATGTGGACAAAGATGATGCCCCCGCTTGCATATCATATCTATACTATCAAATGAGAAGACCTCATTTTGTGTGTCGCTTCTCTTCCTTCCACAATAAATTAATCATCATGCCTCTGTGTCCTATAGGTACCATGCATAGTCGCATTTGTCATCCTCACTTATGATTATTCTGTTTGGGTTATTTTGGGATGAAAACGAAAATATAGGCGTCCGGATATTGTTTTCGTCACCGGACAGACTTTTAAGTCATATAAAAGACTTCCGTTTAGGACTGTTTAAAATTACACAGAATTTTGGTAAATTTACAAACATCAAAATAATTCATGCATTCCGCAGATTTGTTTTCATTTTCACATGGCTTGGGTCGTTATATTCGATAATTTTATCCCTTGCTTACGCTCGGGATGAAATTCCAATTTAACGACTCAGGCCATGTGAAAATTTCAACAAATCTATGGCTTGCATGAATTATATTTCTTTATAAATAAAACATGATTATATACCGGTTTCAGGGGTCCCAAGAAATTGGATTTTTATCGCTTCCAGGGTTCCTGTAGCTCATATACCCAAAACATTTTATGTAATCAAGTTAGAAATTAAGGGTTGTTTGTAAATTTACCAAAATTCTGTGTAATTTTGAACAGTCCTAAAAATTGTGCGTTCATGTTACTACAAATAGTTTGACCTTTGCGTTGACATTCTTTAGATTTACATCCAATATTTTGAACTGGTGAAAAATTCAAAATGTTATATTGACATCTGTTCATGTTTAAGGTACTTTTGATACCTTTCCTGAAATTCTCCAGTCATAAAATCTTTTAAAAAATTCATCCTACAACAGTTTACATACTGCAACCATGCTTTAAATGCCTGCGATTTTGTGGGTGTGTTCTAGTACTTATAAAGGGACATAACTGAAAAAAGGTAAAAGTGACACTACCCAAATTTGAACTTGATCTGAGTTTTGTGGTAATAAGTATTGTGTGTAAGTCTCATAACATTAGGTTGAGGCTAACTTAAGTAGAGAACAGAAACTAAAAATTCAGCAATTTTTTTTGGTAAACACGCATAACTCTAGAACGGTTGTGTATAAGTTTTATAACATTTGGTTGAGACAAACTAAAGTTAGAGAACAGAAACGAAAAATTCAGAAATTTCTATGTTTATAAAGGGACATAACTCAAGAATGGTAAAAGTGTCGCCACCAAATTTCTTACTTAATCTGTATTATGTAGTATTAAGCATTGTGTATAAGTTTCATAACATTTAATTAAATTTGGTTGAGGCAAACTAAAGTTAGAAAACGGAAACAAAAAATGTGTACTTGATCTTAGTTTTGTGGTAATGAATATTGTGTATAGGTTTCTTAATGTTTGGTTGGGGCAAACTTAAGTTACAGAATGGAAACTAAAAATTTTGCAATCTTTCGATTTATAAAGGGGCATAACTCAATAATGGTTAAAATGACACTACCCAAATTCAACTTGATCTGTGTTTTATCAGTGGAAGTCAAAATTAAACATTGCATTGTATAAAGCATTGAGTGTAGTTAATTCAACTATAATCATGGACAAAGGAAGATAACTCCAATTATAAAAATAACTTTATATTTAGAAGAAAATAAAAATTTTGCAATTTTTCCATTTATAAAGGGGCATAACTCTAGAACAGTTTAAGTGACGCCACCAAAATTCAAACTTGATCTGTGTTTTGTGGTAATAAGCATTGTGTATAAGTTTCATAGCAATTGGTTGAGGCAAACTTAAGTTGAGAACGGAAACTAAACATTTTGCAATTTTTCCATTTATAAAGGGGCATAACTCTAGAATGGTTAAAGTGACGCCACCAAAATTCAAACTTGATCTGTGTTTTGTGGTAGTTAGCATTGTGTATAAGTTTTATAATATTTGGTTGAGGCAAACTCAAGTTAGAGAACGGAAACCAATTTCAGGACATAAAAATAACTTTATATTTAGAAGAAAATAAAAATTTTGCAATTTTTCCATTTATAAAGGGGCATAACTCTAGAACAGTTTAAGTGACGCCACCAAAATTCAAACTTGATCTGTGTTTTGTGGTAGTAAGCATTGTGTATAAGTTTTATAATATTTGGTTGAGGCAAACTCAAGTTAGAGAACGGAAACCAATTTCAGGACATACGTTCGTATGTACGTACCTACGTACAGACGTACAAGGGTAAAACTTAATGCCCCCACCGCTACGGCGGGGCATAAAAAAAATAACTGCAGCAATACCTAAAGTGTATTTGTTAGAACATAAATAGATAAAGATATACATCTGAAGTTGTATTTTTGCTATTTAATAGAGACATACATGCACAGCCTGAGAGTACTTCTGTACATAAAAGTATATCATGGTAATTAATATTGTAATTCTGATCATATGCCTTTTTTTTTAACTAAAAACTTGTATAAATTTTACCATCATCTCTTTTAACTGGTTTCCCACATTCTTTGCAAAAGTTCTGTTTTTCTGCTATAAAAGCCTCACAATTGCTGCCATCTTTTTTTTTTTGTATGCAAATTATTAGCTGTATTTGACATTTTGTACAAGACAGTACATTTGGGTTCTGGAGGTCATTACAACTTGGACAATTTTTCATCGTACTTATTTCTGATTCCAATACAACTTCTTCCCCACATATTCCACAATGCTTATCTGAACCCTGAACGTCATGAGAACAATTTTTGCTTTTCATACTGGTAGGAAACTTTTTTTATACAGTCTTTGGTCTAAAATATAAATATACATTATCAACATCATAATGATCATTATATAAATATAAACAGGAACATTTGATATTGCTTTTAAACATTACATTGTTGAGACAAACTAAGCATACAAAAGGATTGCAGACTGTCAAGTTGAAAAGTCAAATGAAATATCGAGGATCTGGATCAACCAAATTATGCTAAAACACTAAAAAGAAAATAAGTTACTGCCAAAATTGATTGTATAGTTGCTACACATGCTACATGTAATTTTCAATATCCAATGGCAAATATGTCATGAAAGTACAATTAAGTTCGTATATTTCCTCAAAAATGAAACATATGTAGGTATTTAAGCAGAAAATAGCATTTTGAAAGTTATGCAAAAATCAAGTTGTTATGCCTATGGTAACAAAATAATTTACTATTATTCAAATAAATTTGATAATAATTTGTTATAATAAACTGTTGACACAGAGATATGTCATGCATGTGTGTAGTTTTGATAGTGTAATTAATGCAATGTTGAAATTTAAATAGGAACACTGTACATGTTTTTTTTTTTTAAACTAACAAATATCTGTAAACTCTTTAAAACAAAAGGATTGACATTCCAGATATATTTCCAACAAAGAAATCTTAAAATAATGTATTTTTGTTTTACGCAGGTAGGTAAATGTACTTTAAAAAAAAATTGGCACTGAATATCGGTGTTTGCATCGTAATCTTAATCTGACGTCATGTACCAAACTATTGGCTAGATCGTTTCATCAACGTCAAGGTTGAGCTTGCACATCACGTCATACTTCGTGATCACCAGCTGATTGGGCACCTTGTCATGAGTGTCTTATCATGTAAAAAAACGTTTTAAAAAATATTGATACTACATAATGTATTTCGAGGTAAGTTTGTTTCAAATTATCATATCATTTTACTGCCAAAGGCCATATATTTCATTTCATTGAAGAAAAATTTGACATCTAGATCAAAATGTAACTTTCTTTAAAAAGGGGTGTTAAATTCTACACTGGGAGTTTTTCTGGCTATTTAAAAACAGCAAGGACGAAAGGCAGTGTTGATAGAAAATGAAATCGTATGTATAATTTTAGGCAAGTCAAAATTACTTTAGTTGCGTTAAAAATAATGTGGGTGTTTATGAAAGAGTGCTGTAAGACTGACATGCCATGGTCATGATTATTATGCCTATTAAATTATGGAGGAAAACACTTCAGTATATTTTGAGCATAAATCTTCAAATTACTCTTAATGTACAATTTTCTCTTAGGTATTTGATTTGTATAGTCATATACATATTACAAACACAAACACAAAGAAGGGTTCAATAAAAGAAAAAGAGAAAATAGTAAAAAAATATGCATGTACATTTGACAAAATTTTAACTGCATCATGGCACACTGTGTGCAATCATGCCAATAAATTATCTGAATTTAGTAAATTATATAATATTATCATAAGTAGGAATTTGATATAAAAAAATAAATTATTTAGTATGATGTGATCATTTTTAAAACACAATATTAATTTCATTCATGTTTTAAAATCTCATATTAACATTTATTCATCACTTGTTGTGTTCAAACATACTAGGACAAATTTGATTTATTGATTTATTATACTTTAAAAAGTGATATAAACACATTAGTGTTATAATGATTAACTATCAAAATTGACATGAGGTCTGTCTGTTGTAACTATGATGTCAAGTACAGATTAGGAGGCCACTTTTGTTTATCATGATAAAAAGACACTTTTCAACTATTTGGAATGTAATGGGCTTGAAATATGACAGTTATGATAATATAGTTATCTTCTTCTTTTGTAGAAAGATTATCACTACATATTAGAATGAAATTTCTAATACCCAGAGAAACACCTAGTTTCCACAATGCCTAACAAGAGGTCTACATAATATAAGCATTGATATTATTATATCATGTATATTGTTTTGGGTGTACATAACTTTTATGCTTCACACTTCCATTCAGTCAGCAATGGTCAGTGCAGATAAAGTAAAGCATATTGGTTGAAAGCAGTGATTATGTCTCAAAAGTATTATTTTTATTATCATGTAGTTTAAACTATATAATAAATATTTTAATTTGGAAATGTTACATCCAAGTTACCTTTTATGCTATTTAGAAAGATAGAATTTAAAGTGAAACTATTTTGTATCAGATCATATATGAGGGTCTGTATGGGGGTCCTTCATTTCTGTATTCTTTAATTTTTAGGCCATTTTTCTGTATTCTTTATACTTTTTGCCCATTATTCTCTATTCTTTATATTTTAGCACCTCATTTTTTCTCTATTCTTTATATTTTAGCACCTCAATATTCTCTTTTCTTAATATTTAAGCATCTTATTATTCTCTATTCTTTATTTTTAAATAATTTTTTGGTCCAGTATTCTCCATTCTGTAAACACCCTCATGTATCGAGTAAATTTTATCCCAATAAAATTGAAAATTGTCAATACAATATTGTTTACAATTCTATTTTCAGCACTTTGGTGACTTGTAAGCAATGGTATAATACCACACAAGGAAAATGAAAGAGAAAAAATGGGAAAAAAGACTGTGCACTTCCTTTATTTTGAAAATGCCACACAAGGAAATTGTGTATCATGCAAAAACTTAAGAGATGATTTTGGATCTATGCATGAAAAGAGAAATGATAGAAAATACATATGTGAGTACATTGTATTAGTTTTTGATATATATTATAGAAGACTGATTACTGAGCTGTATATAAGATGATTCATGACATGTTACATGTGAATTAAAAGGAAAGTTGAAGAATAATGCAATTTTCAGTATGACAACAAATGAATATCAATAAGTTGAACAATATTGTTTCTGGAACATAGAAGACAGAGAAATGGAAATATCAAATCAGAGGAAAATACTGCGTACTTGTTTCTTGTGGGGATTTACATACAAAAGGAAATTGTCAGATAAAACATGTTTTAATATTGTGATAATTTAAAATCTATGAGAAATGAAATATTTAAGACTATTTGTGACAATTATTACTAAATGTCAAAACAGACTGATAGCTTTAAATAACAATGTGTAAAGCTGATTTGTGGCATACTAGAAAGTGAATTTGAAATAAACCAGTTGAAAATCATTGAAGACAAACAATGTTTAGTTTTACAACCAATGGATATAATAATAATAATAATTCTTTATTTAAAGAGGGTTACACAGTTAGCTATAAAACTAATCTTCCCTGAGGCCCTCATGAAATACAATGAAATAAAACAAACAATTACAAAATATCAAACAAACACACATATATGAAAAAATGAAATAAAAAATAATACCAAACAAGGAACCAATGTAAGACAGAGACATTGTAAAGGTTTGAATGTGATTTGGATTTATCGAAAAAATTAGTGTAGCAGGATTTAATATTTTCAAAATAAAGTGTGAGGCATTATTTAGATCAGAAATATATGAAGATTCATCAGACATCTTTATAAAACTTTTTAAATGTACATTTACTATTTTACCATTCATTTATACTTCATTATGAATTTAAAAATCAAAAGCAAATATAATTACAAACCATTGTAAAGATAAATAAATGTTTTAGTTATTCTCTTATTGTATACTATTTGTTTTCTTTTATCATCCTTCTTAAATTTTTGGACCAACTACAAGTACTCCATGTAATTTTTTTTATTAAGTGTTAGAAGTTAAGCATGTTAAGTAAGTTTTAAACTTGGACAAATGGATTCAACAGTTAAGAAATTTAATTTTTAATATTTTCTGAGTTTTATCACTGACTCTTATTTAGCAGTTGCAGAGGATAATGAATGGTACATATAAAACATAACATGTAGCATTTCTCACAGCAGATGTGATTTCTTGAGGTCAACTTACACATTTAAGAGAGAAATATCATGACGTATTATATGTCTCTGAATAAACCCTACATTTACAGAATGACTGCATATGAAACCTGCCAGATTGACATGTACACTACACCATACAATTATTTCATACACTACTTAAAGTTGTCCTACTCATGCTACTGCTTATAGTAAATGAGAAATGGACCTTATCATGTAAGTTTAACCTTGATCCATGAAATGAGGTTGAGCATATTGAAGGTCAGTTGAACCCTGTCTGACAGACAAGTAGACCTTGCAAGGAACCCATGTTTACCAAAAATAGTAATCCTATTACTCATGATACATGAGAAATTCATTTGACAAAAATAACTAAACATTTTTAAAAGCAGTAGCCAGTAGTACTAATCACTAATCCCTCCTCAACTGTACATGTATGTATTTAGCTTTTTTCATGGAGGTTTGGGTGTTATCTTTTTGTAGATGGTCAGAGTTGTATTATGCCAATCTGATGGTCATATAACTATAACTAAAGACAGTAATGTTTGGAATTTTAAAGTGACAGATTCAGGGAGGGTGTACGTCATGTATCCCCCCTTTTTTATCAGAAGATATATGGGCAATAATTTGGTATTCGGCCTTTGGTTTCTTTTTGTATCTTTTTTTTTAAGTTCTAAAACTTTAACTTTTATTCTGTGGGTTGTGTTGGTGTGAGAATAGTATTAATGGAACAAGTGGGTTTTTCGAGGAAAAATTAATCCATTTTGATTCACCGTTTTCGTGATAGGAAACCAAACAGGAAACAAAACTTTATTTTCTTTATTTTGCACAATTTATTTCAAAAGACTTAAATGAACACCATTACTAGTGTTACTTGCTTCATGTTAATATTTAAATTCTATTTTCAATGTTAAATTAAGGTTCTTTTTAAACGCAACAGGAAACCATAAGAAACCGAAAGCATTTCTTTAGTTTTATTTTAATTGGAAAATCAGCTTAAAATAATCTGAACAGTAAACTTTTTCTTGATAATGTTACTTATAACTTTGGTTTTTAAATTTAGGACTGTTTTTGATAATTTTTTTCCAATAGACAATAAAAACTATGAGAATATAGAAATAAGGTCACTTTAGGATGTC